CAATCAAGAACAAAACAAACAAAACATTAATAATTTACAGCACACATTGGCGGCGCGGTTATTTGTTTGAATGAAATTAAAAAGGAACACACACACCAATAATAATAAATAAATTAAGACAATTCTGGGGGCGCCGCTTAATTTGTAACCAAAGACGACTAGTCCCTCCTGTCAATGGACTTGCACGATAAGCATTTCAAATGCGGCGTTTTTCTCCTGCATGGCCGCTGAACGACTTTATGACTGCTTTCAGGTGACGCCACATAGAATTCCGAACACATTTTCCAATATTCACATGCCAGATAATTAAAACAAAACAGCAGCATTTAGAAAAAGAAAACTAAATTAGACCAGAGATCAGTAGCAGGCCATGATGAAAACAAAACGCAAATACGCTTCTTTTCTTTGCACTACATTGTAATATGCAGATTGGCGGGTTCGGTATTTTGTTCGTAAGTTATTATTGGCGGCGGCAATTCATTTGTCAATGAATGTTGTAGCAAGAGAGTAGGGCGGCGGGCCGACGGTGCCGGGCCAATCATCCATTACGATAATGGAATATAATTTAATCTACATTGAGTGTTAACATTTTTAGACATTGTTTGCAAATAATTTTAGAATTCTAGAGCAATACCAATTAAAGTAAATAGTGGCGGCCATTTGCATTACATTTTCCCCATTCAAGGTTCCATTAAAAGTTGTGCAACGCTTTGTATTGTGAATACCAGATGAGAGAATGGCCAATTCAAGTGGAAGCACACATGGACATGTTATAACCTGTGAATAGGTCGAATCGAAATTGGCTCTACACTATATTAGAAGTGTGTATGTGTGTATATGATATTTTTGTGTTTCAGGTATTTTTCTAGTGTAATTACAAAAATCTAGGAGGCTAGCAAGGTGAAAGCTCTAAAAGGGTATAAAAACTAAAAGCCGTCTCCGACATTCTCGGTTTCAAAAAACTATATTTTTATTTAGTATGAACCTATAAATTCTCAAGAACGTCCCATTAAAATTTTAATTAGAATCACTCTTTAAGGTATAGCCGATTTATTGTGTCGGCATTATGCGACGGCAAGTGTGCTTCTCAGACTTTAAACGTATTCTTCTCGAAACAGCGTTTTAACGATTGGCGGGCACAATAACTCAAAAATTATTAAACCAATCGGTTCCAAATTTTAACACGTTATAGCTCTCGAATGATCTAGGACAAATCTGTACTTTCCAGCTTGGTTTTTGGCCGGCTCCATTTATTCTGCTATCAAAGAAAACAATGAACAGACCCTTCACAAAAGACGTGAAGGGTCTTTTGTACAACGTGATTACAGCGGTCCCCAGTGTCAAAATTCAGAATGGGCCCGGGCACCTAATTTCTCTTTTCACACAAAATATTTCCTTTTTAGATTAGTCCAAATTTGCATTTGTGCAATTTTAACTGCGAAAATTCTCAGTTTGTAGGTGAGAAGGCTTGTCATTCTCCTCAACTCTCTTCCCTATAAACTACAGCATTAAGACAGTTCAAATTAATTATATTTGTCATGGTCTAATTTCAGAGAAACAGGTGGAGGAGATGGTTTGTCCGAATAATAAATAAATCCAAAAATAATAATGATCGCTGAAATAGGGAGTCAGTCGACTCTTCTCATCCACTTGACTTCTCATCCATTCGACTGCGTGTCTCTTTATTTATGTTTGTCGTGTGTCGCCGATTTATTTAGTTATCATTTTCAAATAAATGATACACTGTCGCCTATTCGAAGACAAGAATGGATGAATGAATGAAATAAATAAATTGAGTTAACACCAGGCCAAGCGAGAGCAGGCCGTGTTGGAATTTCCATTGTCTATTCGTGACTGTTGGTCCGACTCAATTAGACAGTGATCAACAAGTGTTGCTGTTGTCACTGCCACAACAATGGCGGAGCGTGACAAGCTCAGCATCCAGCAAGTGGCCAATATCAAATAGTCGTAGCAGTAGCCAATGTTGACAGTTTGTGTAATTAAATTTGACACAACAACTGTTTGATACAATGTCGGCTAATATGATCTAAACTACGACAGTAGCTGTAAAACAAAAGTATCAAATCAAATAGGTGTCTGTTTTAATTTTTGAGTGAAAATGATAGTAGGCGAGGTCGAATTGCGGCAATATTTTCCCAAAGAGAACCTTAACTAGACTCCTAAAAATAAAAAAAAAAAACAATTACAGACCACAAGGTTATTTTTGTGTATTTTATAATGTTATAATTTCCAATTAACCACATTTCCAATTAACATAATTGTCAAAGGACAAACAAGCCGAACGAAATAAAAGTTGTAACCACACACATACGCCTTATTCAAAGTTTTGTAAAAAAAAATATAGCATGGAACAACAAAACCAACAATATATTTGCTATTTAATTTTTTTTTGGGGGGGAATTGCACTGCAAAACATGAATTCAACTAAATTCCCGTAGAAACGCATCCGTTGCCAAGCAACACTCCATAAATAACCACATTTGTCTCCATGTGCGGATATTACGACAGAGATGCTGGTCTATGCGATTACTGCTATCCATGGACAACTGCAGTTGTGTTATTTTATAGGAATATCCGGTGAAACCGCTGCATGCGTAGATTGTAACATTGAGTCCGCACACCACACACACACATATGCCATGCACTCACTGGACGACCTTCACTGATGGTCGCCATATGGCCATGGCGGTTAGTTTGTATTTTATAGTTTAACAACAATTAACTGTGACATTACATGGATGAGAATACCGTGAGAGTGTATGTATGTGTAGGTGGGTGTGTTCGTGTGTGTGTGTGAGTGAGTAAGTATGTAAATAATTCGAACGAGTAGCGTTTTAAGGCGTCTAAAATTTAACTTCCTGCTGGTGTTGTCCACAGTGGTGGTCATTGCATTAGGTGGACAGGACTTATATTTGTGTGTGTTAGGCAGATGGGTGGTTCACGGGCAGGGAAATATCTGTCGTTTTATGTTAACATTCTGGAGGATAATTTATTTTCCTGTCAATAGTTTCATATCCAGCTTAATGCGTATAAAAGTTTTGCCATATCACAAGGAAATATAAAATCATTGTTGGAAGTTCGAAAATACAAATAAACGAGGGAAACAATCAGTCAAATTCAAGTAGTGATTCAGAAAAGGTACGCTATGTACTAACAAATGTCTCCAAAGTAAAAGTGAATCCCCATGCCTACAGATTCTTTAGGTCCAATTGCTAATTAGACATCATATCCAAACAGATATTCAAAACAAAATCCTGATTGTTATTCCATTGCTTACAAATTTCTCTGCATTTAGTAATTGAACTTTTATAGTTTTTCCATTGGTTACTTGTAACATGCCCATGCTTAACCTGCAGAAATCAGCTTCACCATTAATCGCAAAATCATTTTCATTTTTATATGTAATGTATATTGTGCTATAACGGTTAGAGATCTGGCTTTACTAATCATTCATTGTTACAAAAAAAATCGAATCCAAAGCCTTTTTTGTCGTAGCTGAGGAAAAGAAAAAGGATTAGAGTTTTACAGAAAGAAAAGCAAGGCAAAACAATAAGAAAACCAAACAGAAATGTAGAGATGGGGCGTTGAATACAACGACCGAACCATCATCTTCATCACTGATCCAGAACAAAAAGTCCATTACGAACATTGCTCACGTGTTCGTCCTTTTGGCTTTATTTAGCGACCACACATAAGGACTACAAATAAGTAACAAATTGATTAACAACCAATACACATCCACACACACACGCCAGCCCACAAGCGCGTACACACATACATACATGTTATCTTTTGTACATGCTGGTGTGCACACGTAAGCTAGCTTACCAACAATGCCTGTACTATTTACGTAGCATCCGTTTGGAAGTTTGCGAAAAGACAGTGAATAAAAGAATCTCAAGAATATTAAAGATTATTATAGAGAACCTAGTACTTTGTTCCTCTTTAAAAAGTTTAATCATACAATCCGAAATTCCATAATCGGTTTAGCTCCCCTAAAACAAAGTATTCCAATAAATTACATTTTGCAAGTTATGTATGCGGCCTTTATTCCAGAAAACTATATTACAATTTCTCACAAAAGTCAACAACAACTCATACGCTCTCCAACAATCACGGTTATATTTCTAGAAATTATGAAAAAGTGTAAGCATAGTCAAAAATAGTGATGGAAACATGTATGGACCATTACTATGGGCTTGTCTACATATTCTTAGACCGAATTGCTATTAATTATCACAATTTTTTTTGAACTATGAGGTAAGAAAAATCTCACGACCAGATTTTCCGACGAGTTTTCTTCACAATAATTATTAACTCTAAAACTGTTGAGTCCACCTTCGTATAACGTTGGCAGCCAGGCGTATTTAATCTCATCTAATATGATTGACTTTCTTCCGAGGGAACAAATCAAAATGGGATATAAAGAAAATCAACCGGAAAATAAACCAAATAACACAAAAAGGGGAAACGTACAATTGTACTTAACGTCAGAATTCGAAAGGACGTTGGAATTTCATCAACGAACATTAGCCTAAGAAAATCGAATAGAACAATAGAAGGAAACACGATTTGGACATGCATGGGGTTATAACGAATTGTGATGTCGTTGTTGTTATTCTTTACCACGATGTGGGTAATCCTAGGTTAGCAATGTCATTACTTACTTGGCTGCAGTTAATCACAAACAGTGTGTGCTGCCCGACACACAATGTAATGTTTTCGACGTGTGTTCGTTTGTTGGCTCGTTCGATATTTGATTAATTTGAAACCTTTTTTGGGATTGTAATCGCCAACGACACAATTACTAAGTTCTAAAAGGAAGCTTTTCCTTGGATTAACATTTGTTATTAAGTTTAGTTTCTCTTTATCTCCCCCTTTCACCCGTTCTTAAAGCAAGCAACTGGAAAATGCCAACTACCCAGCCGTCCTCGTTAGAGCATGATGACGATAGCACAAATCCCAATAGAAGTACGCCCAACAAGGCGAGCAATGAACAAAGGACCACCACAGCCGCCGGACTCACTGAATCGAATCTGACCAAAAGAGGTTCCCAGTCAAACAATGCCGACGAACACAGAGGTTCTGCGGGTAGCACTGCCATAACTCAACACAGAAATAGTGGGTCCAGGGACTCGAACGGCGGCAAAGCGGTAGATCTCTATATACGTGGTCCCGAGGGCGGAGGAGGCGGTGGCAGTGGCAGTGACGGTGACGAGGATGCGGGCGAGGAGACTGATGTCATTGGCGACCTAGTGGGGCATTTTGGCAAATGGCAGTTTCTGATGACCATGCTGCTGTCACTGTTCCAAGTACCGAACACCTTTCACATATCGTCGTCCATATACCAAGTGCGTTCGTTGATTGACATTTACATAATTCTCTCCCCTCTCTCTAAAGTCTGATTGTCATGTCTGTTTTAAAGGCGGCCAGCAAGGATTTCTGGTGTAAGCGGCCCACTCACCTGCAGCACTTGCCAGTGGATGTGTGGCGTAATCTGAGTAATTCCAATGACAATTGCTTTCAGAATCTGGTCGACTGGGGTGGCATAAGCAACGAAACCATGGAGCAATTGCAACAGGTATGTATGGCATTGGGCTAGGCGCGTGTGCTCGTAAGCCCTTTGGAATTTTGTAAAATTGTAGCAAAATCTTGTTGTGGTTGTTGGTATTTGGCATGTCTGCCTTTTGTGTCGTTACAGCAAGGATCTGTATTCAAGAGCTTTGTTGGCAACAATGAGACACGGCGAGCCTGCTCAGCTTGGGAGTATGCCGTAGACGATAACGTGGGGAATAGTTGGACATCCCAGTGGGATCTGGTGTGTGACAAGGAGTATTTGAAAAACGTGGCCGAGATGTTCTTCCTGTTGGGTGTGGCAACGGGTGGCATCATTTCCGGTTACCTCTCGGACAAATTCGGCCGCAAAACCATGCTCTTCATATCGGCTGTGCTGCAGACCATCTTCGGTAAGTGCGACCCTTTTCCAATTGAAAATTACAAACCTACAGAAACAAACAAGGCTACACAATGAGGAAGCAACCGGTGTACGATTCTCTATGACTTTGAACTTGACAGCCTGCTTTGCGGTGTTCACCTTTACACTTGGCCAATGACAAACACACAGACACACAAAAGGACATTGATTTGAGATGTGGCTAAACATTCAGACAAACACACATACACCCACACTACAGACATTTAAACGATTTCTGCTAGCTAGCTGACTGACTGACTGGTATATGACTGGGTATGTCTTCTTAATTGTTTTAATGTCACTTATCAACCGTTTGAAGAACAAGGCTTAATTGAGAAGGACCTTTCAGAAGGATGCTGCAATGAATGCAGAATGCATGACTGACTATAAATGGCTGAATTGCAATATCAATGTTTTATTCCAACGCCCACACAGACAATCGAGTAGGTGTCCCAACACCCATTTGATTGTCGAAACCACAAAGTGAATGAACACCCCCCAACTTTCCCCCACATTCGCATATAGACAGAGCCACATCCACATCCCACCTACCGACTATGCAAAGCAATTACAGTAGTTCTTTTGTGATGCCATTGCTATGGCTACTGCTGAGCACAAGCAGCAACAGAATTGGCGCATTGTTGCCATGACTTTAATGGAAATGTAAAAATAACAGTTTTTTTTTTTTAATTTGTATTCCGAATCAAACAATTCAAACTAAAATAGAAACATTGTAGGATATCACACATGCACACACTCACTAACCATAAAAAGGTTGTGACATGCTGAATACTTGTGTTTGTGCATAAATTGAAATAAATGCGGCTATATTTAATATCGATTACAAGGAATCGGAGGGCGAGTGAGGGAGAGCTACTCGGAGTCAGTGGGTAAATCGTACTAAATTATTCGAATCGAGAAAAACAATTCTAGGAAATATTCGAAATTGATTTTAGGAATCTCTTGAAATGCGAACAAGGAAGATATACATCCAGATGTATGTTCGGGCTTGTTGTTCGTTTCAGAGAATACACTTATTTCTGACTATTCGTTGATAGCCAATCAAGTTAAGAAATCTACACCCACACTGGAAAGTTCATTGTAGAATACTGAGGAACCATTATTATTGCTGGAATACCATTGTGTTTATTTTATTTTGTTCTTATTATTTTTTTTTGTCAAAGCAGTCAGGATAATCAGATGAGTTCGTGTTCGAATATATATTCTAGATTTTCAACTCCTATGTTTTTTGATGTTGAAAATCGAATGTATATACCAAGCTTATGTATATACCTAAAGATGGTCCGTCACAAACGGTGACGTATACAAAACTGCAATTTTATTCTCAAACATATTTCAAAATTAAATATTGGTCTTAACATGCTTGAACAGTTTTTGACCGATATTATACGTCTCATATTCCATCTGAGTTGGTTACAAATAGATGTTTTGCGTTTTCAGATGAAAAATACAACTAGGCAGAATTTACAATTTAGATTCATGTTCTTAAGGTCCTCCCCAATGGCGAAGAATTTTAAAGTTCTTCCTGGGCGAATTTAATGACACTTTTAATTGTTTGTTTTACATATCGATTTCTGTATATTTCATTTCAGGTTTGGCTTTATATTTCCCCCATTCTTTTGAATTCTACATAACATTAAGAGCCCTATTGGGCCTAGTGTCCGTCTCGGTGACCTATTCGGGCTTGATATTGGCCATTGAATATGTCGATGGCAAATGGCGTACAATAGCTGGCATGTATAACCTATTTCCACTGCCAATATCTTACATGGCTATATCCGGTATTGCCTATTTAACGCAAGATTATCAGCGGCTGCAGCTGTGCATTGGAATTCCAGGCATTTTTCTTTGCTTTTTGTGGTGAGTGGACATTTGACAATTGCTTTTATTTATCGCCATGTTACGCTGTGAAAAACAATACTAAACCATTTCCATATATTTTTCGTCTTGTTCGCCTTCTCTGCCTAGGTTTGTAGTGCCCGAATCACCACGCTGGCTCTTAGTCAAGGGTCGCATCGACGAAGTCAAACAAATTGTGGAAGCCGCTGCCCAATTCAATAAACGTGACTTACCCAGTGACTACGAGAGCCTGCTGAAACCACCTCCCCAGGAAGAAAACTCCCAGGATTTCTTTTACCTCTTCAAATCACGTTACCTGAGGCGTATTACGATTTGTTTTCTCTGCATTTGGTTTACCATGAATTTGGCCTATTATGGCTTCATCTTGAACATGAACACGTTCGGTGGTAATGTTTACTTGAATTCGGTAAGTGAATTATGGCAGCCGAAACGCACCCACACACACACTGCCCACATTCATCATCCGCCTCTACAATTAATTAAGCACTTGTTGATTTTATTTCTTCTTAATTATTCGCACCAAGAAGAGAACAAATTAAAATTGCCACGGCATTGATATGCCGTTGAACGGGGGCCGGGAGTTCTTCTAATGGCCTTTTTCATCGGCCAATAAACACCATCATCGGCCGATAAACATTTAAAACTTTCAGCATTCAACATGTGGAAAATGTTTACATGGAATGTTTCCCCAGACAGTTCTTCTGTACTCACACACACACGCACACACATTTGTACAAGCACCTATTCCACATAATTGTTTGTATATTGATAACACAGCAACAACATCGCAAGTTTAAGGGTGGGTGGGGGCAATATTTTGGCAAAATGCCCACAATTTGATAAAATTATGTTTCGTTCGACTTCGAATACAGTGGTTTGAAGTGGAGTATGTATATTAATAACAATTAGAAGCTTCGTATACAATCATTATAGATTTGGGTTGGCACAAAAATAGACATAATTGAAGGCATTAAAACCAATGGGTTGTATACGAATTTATACTGGAAATAATTGTTAGAATGACCTGCAAGTTCACCGAAAAATGTGTTTATGCTAGTTTAATAGACTTGAAATTACTGAATAGTTTGGGAGACATCGTGGTTTATATGAGCCATGACAATATTGAAAACAAAAATTAGCTCTGATTTCTTTCATCAAGGACCACGTTCTTCAAGGGAAAAATGTCTCTGTAATTAAAGATCGTTTCAGGTGATATACCAATCAATAATGCATTGAGGGTAGGGAGTAAATCGTATTAAAAAAATCCATTCTAACCGAAGGCAACGTGTATTTGCTTCTGTTCCTTTGAAGACACTGTCCACAATGTGAAAAATCAGTTCGTCTGACAGAAGAACGTGTAAACATGGAAAATTCATGCCGTTGGCTGTGAGCGTGTTTTTGTTGTTTTAAGTTAGCCATTGCGATGTTTAGGAGGCGCATTGCTTATTTTTCGCACATTAAAATGATGGATGACGGCAGGCAGATGTTTTCAGGCTTTTGTTCTAGACATGAATTTCAAACGATATGAAATATTTAATTTTCCGTGCATCATATCAACAAAACAATGATTAACGATAGTTATTTTATTTTCTAATTTCGTCTATTTTTTGATATTTATCCAATATCCATTTACATATTAGGCCCTAGCTGGACTGGTGGAAATACCAGCCATTGCAATTGCCATGTACATAATATCGAAGGTCGGCAAGAAGTGGCTCTTCAGTGGCACTCTAATTTGCGCTGGCATTGCCTGCTGTTGTGCTGCCATAACTGAGGGCAAGGAGGACATTTTATGGTTGAAAATCACCTTCATTATGATAGGTGAGAGAGGTGGACGGTCCATAGAAAGAGATTTATATTAATAGCCTCTTCTTTGCCTTGCAGGAAAATTCACTATAAGTGCTGGTAACACAATTATGCCTGTCTATACCGCCGAATTGTATCCCACAGCTATACGCAATGTGGGCGTGGGAGCTTGCAACATTGCTGCTGGACTGGCTCTGATATTAACGCCGTATTTGTCTCTATTGGTAAGACACCAAATGAATAAACTATATTACGGCTAATTTATTAAGTACCCCCCTCTCATCTGATTTCCATTTTTATTTTTTAGAACAAAATCGAGGATCATTTGTTGATGTCGCTTCTAACGGCCTGGTGTTTATTTGGCGGATTTGTGGTTCTGTTCCTGCCTGAAACTATGAAGCAACACACAGCCTCCACAAAGGCAAAGGAAGAAAAGTAAGCAAAGCTATTAATGATACAACAAAAATTAATAAAAGTCATTATGAAAACCTGTATAGACACAATGTGAATTGAAGATCATTGATTGTGGTGATAACATTTTTGTTTTACATACCAATTATATTTACATAAATCTCCTATTAATTATCTCTTTTTTTTTTTTTTTTGTTTTTCCTTTTTATTTATTTACAGATGTTAGAAACACAGCAGCAGTGACAAATGAAATTGTAGTTCATTTTTTCCAGTATAACACGACTTGCTCGGATTTTGGCTGGTCCAGAATTTTATTCAATGGCTTTTAAACATTTGAAAACCCCCATCCCCACCTTTATACATATATACATACAACATTTGCATATCAATACATAAACATACGAACACGCACACACAGCCACATATGTCTGTGTGTATGTGTGTCTGTTACTCAACCGTACAGTATATTTGTTACTAAAATAGAAGAATTCCTTTGATTTGATTTTGAATTTCTTAGTCGCATAACCACAAACAGGCAGGACCTTTAAGTTAAACATTCACAAACACACGTACACTTACACAAACGTTTACACAAGTCAAAGGACTTTGATTATATCGTGAATTTGTCAATTGTCATGTAAGATGAAACCCCACCCAACAAACACACAACACACATTGTTGTAAAGATATTTTGAATTAATTAAGTATTTATATGCAAACATGTATATAGATAGTACTACTCGTCATTTATACATATTTACATTGCCACATCCATACAAACAAAGCTATTACTAGTAGGTATTTTAAAAGAAAAAAAGTGCAAGCCACAAAATCCAAATACATTTAGTCGGTAGTCAATTATTTACTAATTGTTCAAAAACAAAATTAAAATTAAAAAACAAAAAATGAAAAACTCAAAGTTATTGTCAATGAACCAGACGCAGATGAAGAAAGAATGATGTTATATTTGTCAATTAATCCAAGAATAATAACAACAACAACAACAATTATAAATCTACAATGCACACTCATACAAACGTAGATAGATGTGTATTAATAACTCAATCCAATCCAATTCAATTCAATTCGTATCAATTCTAATTAAAAAACAACAACAAGAAAAATCGAATATTTATTATTGTGCATTTCTTTACATTTTAATTTCTTTATATATACTAAATAATTCCTTTGTATTAAATCATGCACATCCATGTTCACAAACACACACGCGCGCACACACTCACACACTGTCCATTCACACACAATATATGTATTTATAAGTAATACGGTGCTACAGCCAAACAAATAAGTGACCAGACCCAGTTAATGGTCTCTCCAAATTTCCTTTTTTCAAACGGTGAACTGTTGTTGGGAAACATCGAATGCCTGTACTTAGGGATACGACCTCTGGCAGTATGCAATGTTGTTTCCATTCTGTTGTTGCACCGTGTAATTGTTGAAAATTGTAAAACGAAATGCAGAAGCAAACATCAAACTGCAGAAAACCCGCTTGAATGTCGTTCGATAACGGCAACTAATCCAATGCATTGTATCGTAATGTCATTGTAAAGTAATGTAACAATGTTTAGATGTTGCTTTGTCACCAACAAATTTATCTAGATAAATAAAAATATGAACCCCGTATTAATAACAATAAAAAATGTACTTAAGAAATCCCCACGCATATAGGACATTCTAAGATATTAACACTTAATTACCTGGATATATTGTTTTGCTAATTCCGTGATGACAAACCACCGCATACCGCCCCACCCCGCCCACACATATACATATAACTAACCCACCTTCAAAGTAATATGACCAACACCACCACATCCCTGAAACTCTAATAGAGGATTTATTTTTGTTGTCAAATAATTATGTACTTACAATGTAAGCCATTAATTAAAATTAAAATTAATAAAAGTATAATTAATTAAAATTAAAAAAAGAAAACTCTAATAAGCAAGTAATAAATAATTTTAGTCATATTTGTATGTGTTTTTTTTCTGTTTTTGTAACATCATTTCAAACAAAGAAAATGAAAAATAATGAAACTACTTGTATAAGTGTTTGTGTAGTTTGCAAATTGATCAAATTAATAAAAAAATAAAATGTTAAAAATTTAGAACTTTATTCGAATGCCTTTATTGGGTGTGTGTGTGTGTGTGGGACAGTGAAAAGTAATCGAAAGGTAAGTTTAGATTTTCAGAAAACAGCGATGTTTTTGGATTGGATTTGTTGGTAATGTCTAAAGCACCGCTCTGTCACTCAGCATAGGTGGGACGAGTGTTGTGGGGAGAAAAGTTTTTATATGATTTTGTGGTTACTTTTAGTATCCTTTGGCGTTGATTTATTTATATCTAATAAATATTGTATCCGACACTAGGGAGATTCATTTTGGGATAGGTGGCGGTGCTGCTAGTTCGATATGAAAAATTGTAAATATAATTTATTTAAGTTGCCTCAATACAAAAAAAGAAATATGTAGATTAAACTATGCAACAATTCCATTTGACGATGATCCTTGGGTCCTTGGCGTGAGTCCAGATTAACAAATTCACAAAATAAAGCCGACAAACCAAGATTGGATATTTGCAAGCAATTTTTACGTGAAACACACAAAGATGTCACCGAATTTAATTGGAAAATCTGTTTGCAATCAAAACAAGTTAAAACGATTTTTAGCACAAGTATGAGCTATACAATGAAAATAAAAAAAATACAGCCAATTTGATAGAAAAAAGTGTCCAATATCCCAAAAATACCGAATATGGGGGATAACGTTATATGGGGGCAAACTTGAAACTCGGAGCAATAATTTTTGGTACGGATACAAATCCAAAATTCAGAAACGTGTCCAAAATAGCGAATATTGAGGTTACCGCTATATGGGGGCTATACCAAAACGTGAACCGATATATCCCATATCCAATATCAAACATCCTAGGCGTAATAGCAATGTCTGCGCAAAATATTAGAGCTCTAATTTAAATATTGCGATCTCTATAGTGATTTCAACAGACAGACGGATGGGACCTATACTAAATCGAAGCGAAAGTAATTTTGTCTCGCAGGGTGAACTAGAAACTGACTTCTTGTTTCATTTTGATGACTTTGTGAAGGAGTCGTCCAATGAAAAAGAATTGTTTATTGACATGAGATCCATTTTTTTTTAATTTGTTGTGTGATACAATACAAGTAACAAATACACTTTTGGAATAGTGGAAATGGTTAAGGGTTAAGTTTGTAATACAAGTAATATTAGAATCAAATTCCCAAAGGCATTTCTATAGCTGATATCCTCTACTAAAATCACATAAAATAATCGTTAATCATATTATGTGTATGAAATGCCTTACACTCATTTTGTAGGAACGACTACTTTAAGGAAGTCTCACCCCCACCCACTCCCTATTGGAATATTCATCGCCCAATGAATCAAATATTTTTTTTAATTAATATTTTCAATTTCCTAAAATATGAAATTCATTGAAATAAAACAAGAAACAATTTCTTCGTATCCCAATTTTTTTTAATTTAACAGCCATCTAAGCTTTGCAAAGCTCACTTTCAAACATTTAAATTACAATAGCTTTAAGCATTTAACCATTTGGCAACAAAATTGCGATCGCCAAAATCAGTGTTGTTAACCTGCATATTTAGCTGGTGGTGATTTTCTTTGGCAATTTGTTATTTCTAAACCATTGGGGGAACTGTTGGCACGCCATTTATAAACAACAAGCTAACCGTTATCGAAAGTAGATCGTTACCAGCCTTATCGAAGGCAACACAACACAAATTTCAAATTGCGGATCAAAACAAAAAAAAGAAAAAACAAAAACAACTAAAAAGAAATAAATTAACTTAGACCAAAAAATTATTTATTATATATTAAAATGAGTGGCGTCTTGAGACGAGGCTCATTAAGCTTTGACCTTGATAATCGCTCGAAACGCGGCAGCATTGAATCGAATTTATATGGTGGATATCGGGATATGAAAAATGCCGGCACCCCCGAAATTAGTGTTATATCCTTTGACTTTCGGCGTCATTCGGCAGATTTGAAAAAAGACCACACCAACAACAACGGCGGTGACAGTGATCAAATTCATCAGCTACAGATGCCCATGGATATGCCAAGAAATCCCAGCGAAGACACCGACAGTGACATTATATCCAATTTCATTGGTCACTATGGCAAATGGAATTTTATTTGGACTTTTATCTTGAGCTTGTTTCAGATAACTCCAACTTTTCAAATGTTTGCCTTTGTATTTCAGGTGAGCAAAAAATCAAAAAAATACATGTAAATAAATAAATCGTGAACTTAACTTCCATTACTTGAGCTGAACAAGTCAACATCTTAGCAAAATGTGCCAGTAAATGCGATTGGTCTTGTGTGAGTGTGTGTGCGCGGTTAGTCAGTTTCCTTGCTATTTAAATATTTGTACCTTTAAATGGAAAAATAGCAAAGCAAATGTGTTTCTTTGAGAAATGCCGCCACCAAATAAAATTGGTGTAAAAAGTTTTTTTTTAATTTTTTTCTAACCGAAATTTTATTGAAAATACTAACGGTCAAATAAACAGTTCTTAATATGAATTTTAAACCAATGAATAAACCTTATATTGATAAAAACAAATTGTTACTTACCATAGAATATATATATATATATATATATATAGTTTGCTTATATTCTCCACATATGCCTATGTACATGTTACATATTTCTATTGAGACATCAGAAACATTTCAAAAAAATAATTCAAAATATTTGCGGTTTGTTCGTTATTCGAGTGTTAAACTCAAAAAGTGCTGAAGATGACCACCGGCTGGGTCTATTTGATAAAGTTTGATGGTAAAATTAAATTAGAATATAATGACACATTGATAGAAATTCGGAAACGACACTATTTTATATATTCTCAACCTTATGAATTTGAATAAGGAATTCTTGCTTAGACTACCGTATCCGTCTTTATGATAGGTCCTTGAACATGTACGGAAGGAGTTTTGTAAAACCAACACAAAAGTTCATTTAAAAACCAGACACACCCAAAATGAAAGTCGTGTACGTTTTTTCAAACTTTATAAAAATTGTACATTACCTATATATAAAACGGTATTTAGTCCTGATTTATATTAGGCGAGTTTATTTGCGGCAATTTTTATCGTTCTCTTTTGAACTTGCTCCATGCGTCAATACAAGGCAATTCGGTTTCCAAAATATTTTTTTATTTGTTGTTTTTTCACATTTAAATATATATGTATGTATATAATGTCAACAAATACGAAATATATATATATATATACAATGGACTTGACAATTTAAACCCACTGGGTTAAGGAAATCATACAAAGTTCCTAATGATTTTATTTAGAAATCTGAATAATTTTACAAATATCGTCAGCTAAAATGCAAAAAGGCGTAACTAACAAAACCACAATTGTGTAGGAGAAGCAAATAACAGTTTTGAATGAAAACTATAAACATGTCATGTGAAATGAAAAAGTATGCCCGGCAGGGTGATATTGCATGTGACGAATAATCGACTATAATTTTTTTAACAAATTTAGTTATTTAGTTTAATGGCAGTCATAACAATTAAGTAAAAAACGTGAATTTTTTGTTAGTTACGCCTTTTTGCATTCATCAAATAAACCCACTTGTAGTTAAGGCTTTTTGTTTTTTGTTAAAAGAAGCTCCTTTTTTGACCGCAGACGTGTAAAACTTTGTCAACACATGTAGTTTATTGACATTCACAATATTCATTCAAAAAGTCAATTTTTAATTTTTTTGTTAGTTACGCCTTTTTGCATTTTAGCTATTTATATATGTATGTGTCTATATATCTTTCGGTCAAGTTCAAAGATTATGTTTGATATAGCATCGCATCAGTCTATGGCAAGATTGTTGATATTTAATTTTAATTTTGATAAATGTCCGTATATGGTTATCAATATTAAAACCTCTTTTGGTACTATTTAAATTTACGTCATCAAAATAATATCCTTTAAAAAATTCATAATTGTGGTAGTTTTTGATGTTAATCTTGATTTTGACATTTGCAGACACATTTGAGTGAAATGAGTCAATCCCTTCACAATTTTGATTTTACGGCCTAACTCTTCATATATATAGGTCTCAACATTGTATGTATATATGTATGTAATCTGCATTCTTCAAACAAAATGACAAACAACATTAATTTCCCTTAGATCAAAATATCAAATCGTCAAGTGTTCACGACACTTCCCACACAAAGTCAAAAACATGTTAATTATTCTTAGAATTTTACAATTGCCCTTTCGGCGAACATTATCGGAACAATTCTATTTGTTCGGCGTATTCGATGTGTATGCCTTTGATTCATCTAAATGTCGTTACCTGTCAATAATGTGCGTGTTCAGAACATTAATTGGAGAATAGTATTGAGTGGAGTGTGCAATGTGGAAATTTTATTGCAAAGAACGGTTCGGAATGGCCTCTCGAATGCGATTAATACAGATAATGAGGCGTTATCTATCGTTTCTTTCTGTGCGGTGTTGATGTTTGTGTTCATTTATCATTGAAATCGTCTACAGTGTTTAGCCAGTATAGTAATACAAAATAAATATAAGTATTTTTGTTTGCGATTTTTATACATACATCAATGTTTAGTAACCCTTTAAGAGCACTGAAATATGGGTTCTTCAGGAAATCTATTAATACCTACATTTTAATGCAAATTATTATAGCTAATTGGTTTCTTCACCAAATGATTTTACTTGTTGTCTTAGCAAATTTACCACTTGTCTTGCTTATTATGTGTATTATTTGTTATCACCCCTACTAATGATTAAATCAAGTTCACTTGCACCCACATGACACCAAATATTGTGATATGCCATATGCCACAGAACCATAAAAACCAATCATCTTAAATTACCACATTGAGTGGCAAAAACAAAAACGTTTTGTATTCTTCGATTACATAAAAGAGTCCCTTGTGGAGACAATCTCGACAAGCATACATTTTTATTCTGATAATGAAAATGCAGTGGTTAAACTAATACCAGCATTTAAATCTAATTACGTTTTGTTATAACCAAACTAATGACGGCTATCAATGGCACGCACCCGTCTTAAAATTCAACAAGTCAATCAATCGCAAACCGTTCAGATGTGCGTTGCCACTTACAAACACACATCGCATGCAAATCATGAGACCGACAAACAGACAGACATACCGACAAACAATCACATCTCGTAAGCTCGTAAGCATTCTGCCATCGAACAGATGCACTCTCGTATGAGTTCCCGCATGCTTCCAATGTACGATAAGTTCCGGTAAAATATCAACGGCAACTGGTTTTAACAAATTGACAGTTATTTCGTATACAGTGGGAGTAATAAATAAGTATATATCATAATTTGTAAGAAATATATTAGAGAACACTGAATATCAGTCGTAAAGTTATGGCAAATGCTACTTTTTTAACCAAGTTTAATGAATTCGATCATTTGCAATTTTCATATACCCCGCCCACACAAGGTGTGGTGTATTCTAAATACCTAAACACCTTGAAATGTTAGTCGAAGGCCCCATAAACTGAATTTATGTTATAAATCCGAATTGAATTCTGTGTCGATTATGGTATGTCTGTCCGTTGAAATCATTATTGAGATCGCAATATTTAAAATTGAGCTTTGGAATTGTGAACATACATTGCTACTACTCCCAGCATGTTTGATATTTGGAATGTAATCTATAATAACAGTACCGACACTTTTCGATTTTTTTTTATGGATTTTGTCATTCCTGTACGACAATCCCGATTAATATTATATTTTTTAAATGCGAACCTCAAGATGGAGGGTATAAATGGTTTAGATACTAATGAGCGGACGGTAATAGTTGACTTAGTACATTCAAAGTAAAAAAATATTATATGAGTATCCCTGCTTGTGTTATCATTCAAAGATAACTCATTTCTGCATACCACCTCAATCACGCCTGCTGTATTCAACCGAGGGTGTTGACACACGCCAATAAATTACAAATCACATTATTTCATTACCATCCAATTTGCAATTTCAAATCTTACAACAAAAAATTCTCATTGCAAATTTAACGTCAGATGTCGTCATGAGTAGCGCCTAACGCAATGCAATGCTGTTCTTTGCATCCATGACGAAGATATCGACAATGGCCTGTGCTCCGCTTGCAGCCAATCAATATCGTTCATCTCACGTTCGTCACCGACGCTTTAATGATATTTCCTATTACTTTACGAACAATTTGGCAATTACATCGACAATAATAGCAAACAATGAGGTGTAAGTAGTGCGACAAAATAATTACACAAATTGTTGTTGTTAGTGTTGTAATTGAGATCGAACAGGTTTTGCTGACCAAAACATTGGAGATTTGTGGCAACTACATATTTTTGTAAAGGTGGGTGAACGTTCAACCTTAAATGATATTCATGCATATCAATTTATTGGGGAACACTAAACATACACACACACGCACACACATTGTACAATATGGGACCAATTATACATTTTTTTGCATTTTCAATGTCAAACTCAAAATAAACTAAACAACGCAACGCAACGTCCTCGCTGCATAACGGCAAGTACGACGCATGTACTCTTAGTGTCGCTTTAAGGAAGTTATTCACCCCTCCCCCCTCACCAATATCGTTGACTGATGATTGCAATAACTTCCGTTTAATGTAGTTTTGCCACTGATTAATTTTCGCACTTCAATGTTTGTCAACTTTCTAAACAACAAACGTTCAAACCAAATAACTACTCGAACTTAAAAACCGGTCGTCATTGATATCGGTACTGGCACTGGTACCATTCAAAAGGTTACACTTAGGAAAATGTGAGGTAATATTACAAACAAACAAAACACATTTATTTGTTTACTTAAAGAAATAATAGCAAAACAAAAATATAAAATCATAATAATTATGTCGTTCGTAACCAGTGTTGACCTAATATTTGATAATATATGTGAGGTAAGGCTGCTGTGCTGTGCAGGGCACATCAAATGCCTCGATCCAAATGCCACAGCAAATTGAAATCATTTGCGGGCCAAACGAGCTAACAAAGTGAGGAGTAGGTATGCGATCAAGTGTGTCAGTCTGCCTCTAGCATGAAATTAATGTACAAACTTCAGCTCAGATTATTAGCTATTAAAAACATTTGTTTTAGTCAAATATTTGGTTAGTTCCGTAGCAATTCAATGTGTCGACTTTAATCCACATTATTTCATTAAAAATGGCAACATACATTTGCATTTATAACTGCGATATTTATTTAAGAATTTACTTTTAGGTGCCAAGGACCATTCTCTCGGAAAAAACGGTTCAGATATCAGGGAAACAATACTAGTATTACAAAGCAATTCTATAAAATGTCTTCTTAGACTCTGAATGGGAGGTGATATTGAAGATATACTTAAAATATATTTGAACAAACTTTTAATACAGACTCAAAACTTCAAACAATATTTCACACAGAATCCTCTACAATATGACTCTACATTCCTGCGAAAATTCGAGCATTAATTATTGCATCTAAAGAAATTATCAGCTTAACATCAAATAGTATGGGGTAGGTTATGACAATTTCCGTCATATTTTAACTGTTCTTCATTGGCGTTCTATGAAAACAATTTCGATTTAAATTTGTTTTGTTCGGTGTAAGATAGTTCAAATTACTCATACTGGCATAGCTGCTGCAATCCAAAACCTGGATGACCAATAATTCTATGAATGTTGGGTGTATCAATTGCATTTGCGATACTTAATTTATGTATTATTTATTTAATTTTTTTATAATCAATTCTCTATATACGGCCAGACGTAATTACTTCACAGAAGATCGTACAAATATTTTAACCGCTGAGGTGATACATTGGGCCATATCTTCCCGATTAGTATCAGTGATTTTTTAATTGTCCTTTGAGACGTAATTTAGGCAATTGTCAACCAGCCTAAATATGACGAAAACAATTATGTAGTTTCTTTCCAATAAATGAGTTGGTATTGTTTGGAAGTATATGACCTAATGTAGTAACACATATAGCTACGTGTACCCACCACATCCATACATACATATATGAATAAATCGTTATATTATTTCTATTCTTGGCGGCACAACTGGGGTATCTAACACTTTTCTCATTCGGAGCGTTCTCAGTCACTAAACGACCTTAAACGTGGTAAAGTTACAAGCAGTCAGTCAGCCAAACCTCTAAAAGAAAAACAAAGCAATCGTTGCCGCCACCGACCCACCGACTCAGAATAAAACTTAACTCAGTGCCATGGCTCAAAGTGCAGAGGAGCAATTATTTTTGGTAGCTGAGAAGATAGATTTTGGCCAACTTAGCCAAGACGAAATCGAAAGTCTGCAGTCGAAACGTTTGTCGATGGTTTTGCGGCATGGTGGTTTGTGGCAAGCCATTTGGTGTTGCACACTGTCCATCTTTCAAGGTGTATCCACATTTCATATTTTCACGTTTGTCTTTCAAGTAAGTAGAATAAGAAGAAGAAGAAGATAACAACACTACAACTGCAACATCACATACGAATTGAATGAATGAAGAATGACTGAATAATGAAGCCATCCGCCGTAGTTCTGTAATCGACAAATTGTAAATATGAACACAATCACACACTCACTTACTAGGCCACAAATTCATCATAGATCGATTGATTGGTAATGCTAGACTTCGGTTTTTTTTTCAAATTTGCCGCTTTAATTAGTTGCCGTGTTTTGAGTGTTGCTATTTGCTTGCACCCGCTAACATATTGTTGTTGTTGCCTGTGGTTGTTATTGTTGTTGTGATTATATTTCATGGATATTGAAAGAGGTTTTGCAATAAATAGTTGTTGTACGTTTTTGGTTTGGCTTCATTGCACTTGTTTGCTGGTTGTTTGGATGGTTGGCTGATGGTTACAAGCTTTTGCAAGCGGGAACACCATCGTCATTTCGGTTGTTGTTGTTGTTGTTATTACTATATAGCCCTCACCCACTATTACAACAACTGGGGGAAGGGCAAATCTACAACACCTGGTAATCAAGGCAAATTATTTACCACAATATCAGAATTCGCCAGGTAATAACAATTGTATTCGCAACATGACTTCATGCAACATATTTACTAACTGTTCATTTGCCCAGTGTTTCGTTTTCTTTCCTTTGGTTTTTTGTACTTCTGTAATTGTTTGGCGCTTCAGTAATTATTGGTTCCCTTATCGAACAAATTCTGTTACAAGTACAATACGCCACTTGACATTGATGCAGCAATGAAATCAATCACTTGCAATTTATTGACATGTTTCCTGACAATGAGTTGAGCCTTTATAGAAGAAAATATAGGTCTGTCTAAATAATAATTCGTAAAAATCGATTCAATTCATGTCCATACTTGTCCTGAGATATAAACCCTCAGCCTATGGTTTGCGGAGGTCTACTTTCCTTTTTCAGCTCTCGTCCCTTTCACTGATCTCGTTCCTTTATTCCCATATTCTTCATTCGTTCTCCCTCGTTATTCAGATGCTGTCACATTGTTAAAAACATACATATGTCCTTCAATTTATTAATAAAATTGACCGATGAGCCCCATCATCCAGTATTATACAGGAATGGCTAAAAAATATTCGGTTGTGCAATGTTTGGTTCAAATCGGACAGTTCGTTCACCTAATACAAATAAAGAACTCAATTGAACAACCAATATAATAATTACCTCATAAATTTAGAAAAAAAGTATTACAAAAATATGATGAACTTCCAAAAGGAATTATTTCAATTCTAATAGTACGTTTACATTGTATCGGATTTCGTTAACCCAATGTGTACAAACTGTCAATTCCATTGTATATATGTCAAATCCACCATGAAGTAGGTTAACCAGTAAACACTTCTAATATAAATTCCGTTTAATACCAATCGCCTCTGGAATCGAAGTGTGGTATTTTGTTGATCGCGATTGTTAATTCGACAAAATTCACAGATATGTCTGTATGTTATGAATGTGGTTGATGTTTGTGAAAATATCCCAAACACATTTTGATAATAATATTCGCTCATTCGTGGGTGCTGCTCACGCAAAATTATAAAACGAATCAAGTTAACTGAGAGGCTTGACAGAATAAACGATAATAAATTATTGATAAAACCGCATGAAAACGTGAACTCAACAACTGATTTTCAATCAATTTTGACTGTGCTTACATAACCAATGTCAATGTACCCAGGTTGAATGTCCCAACAATTTGCATGGCATTTTTCATTGCACCAGATAAGAAAGTAAGACTTTGGCACAATGCATTAATGTTTCTAGTACGAAATTAGCTTCATAACCTTAGGAGCCGTTCATGTATCATCAAAGCATAGCTCTTAGCCCGAAAGCGATCAAAATAAGCAAGGCGATGAACCCACCACCACCCATAGTTCTTACGTAATATTTGAACGGTCCCTTAGTTATTTCAGTTTGGAAGCGATTCAATACCAATTACATCGAATACTTTATTATTTATTTATCTATCAAATACTTTATTATTTATACTTTATTTATTTATTATTTTAATTTGAATGCTAGTCAATTCAGTATACACGATTAACCTCTTTAAAAAGCGATCAAGATGAATAAATTATTGAAAAGTAGGGCCTAGTGACTCCGTGTTTGGTCTTGTCCTTGTGTCTGTCGCAAATTGAATTCATTCAAATAATTACATTGACACCTGAGTACCTCCAAAGCTGTGAAGACAATTAAAGATCTCCATAAGTTTTGTTGTTGCAACTCAGCGCAGTGCCAAGGCATTACCACAACTCCAACATGCAACCATGCCGTATGTCACCTTTGATATTTGCTTTATGAAAATCGACAAACATTCTTACCTCTCAATACCAAAGAATTGATCTATTTGGTCACGTTCTCGATCGTTATGTAAATTTACATCAGATACAAATGTTCCTATATGTTACCCGTTACCTGCTTCGTGGTTTCATGTCAACGTAGTTGACCGACCACACTTGTCGTACTTTATTGGCGGTTATGTTGACACATTTATTAATAAACAAAGTTATAATAATTGGTTTTATTGTTGGCGATTTTAATATTAAGAAAAAAAATACTTTCTGAATCCCAGTTTGTTGTTTTTATAAAAAAACAACTATTTATTAGTGGGGAATGTATGCCATTGTTTGCCGAGGGGTAAGGCAGGGAAGACTATAGTTTCGGATCACGCCACTGATCCTCATCAGTTCCCTTAGTTTTTTGTTGGGATATTCTCCCCAGAAGCTATTGCTTCTATACAAAAAAACCATTCAAACCCAAATGTTTCTTGTAACAAAGCGAAGCACTTAGCTGACCAACGACATAAACTGCATGAGAATTTCGCTGGTGCCTCACTTCGAGGTTAACAAGGCATTTACAAACAATACCATACCTCGAAGTGAGGCACCAGCAAATTAAGGCTGTCGTCTGTCTAGGCTATTACAAAGATTTCTCAGGAATCATATATCAAAGTAATGCCCCACAAAACCCTAACGTATGACCTCGTTTCCGAATAGAAACTATTTTTTTTTAATAACTGTTCTTGTTTTTATTTTTTTCCAGACGGCCGACAAAGATTTCTGGTGTGCGCGTCCGCAAAATATGATGGACATGAATGCAAGCGAATGGAAAAATGTTACCCAAACATCAGATTCATGTTCCATATGGAATATAGATTTCACTACTATGGACTCCATACAATCTCTTTTCGATCATATAGCTGCATCAGGAAGTCCGCCAAATTACACCCAGTGCACACAGTTCGAATTTGCTGGGGATACATCCATGACGCTGGTCCAGGAATTCGGTTTAGTTTGTTCTCGGCGCCAGCTGCTGAGTGTGGTAGAAATGTGTTTCTTGGCCGGTGCTGCAGTAGGCAGTGTTTCGAGTGGTTGGATTTCCGACAAATTTGGACGCAAACATACCCTAATGGGCTTTGCTTTGTTGCAGACAACATTTGGTAAGATTTAATTCAAGCAATGACTTTATCCACATGTGCACTGAAATTAAATTATGTGTTACATACACATCTAAACATATACATCAGGTACTCTATTGGCCTTCTCAACATCCTTGGCCATGTACATGGCTTTACGTGTGATAATTGGATTCGCCTCGATGACTGTGGCCGTTGTTAGTTTCGTGCTGGTGGTCGAACTGGTCTCCGGCAAGTGGCGTACCGTGATTGGCATTCTGAATATTCTGCCGGTTGCGGTAACATATGTTCTAACAGCGGGTATATCTTACTTCATACGAGATTGGCGAACACTGCAGCTGACCATATCGTTGCCATGGTTCGCCATATTGTGCATTTGGTGGGTAACATTTGCTGAAACTTTATTCATGTGGTCAAATTAAATTTTCATTGTCCTCCCCTTCGAACAGGTACTGTGTTCCCGAATCGCCTAGATGGCTATTGGCCAGGGGTCGCCTAGAAGAGCTGTATGCCATTGTTGAGAGGGCGGCTCGTCTAAATGGCACCACCCTGCCGCCGAACTACAAAAAATCTCTAGAGGCCGCCGTGCCACCTTCATCGCCCAATTGTCAAAATGTAACGACTGCCAATGACGCTGCGGAAGACAATGGCCGTCCGGCATTGAATGCAACAAATGCCATAGAACTGGATGCCAATGCCAGTCCTTTGGTAGTGGTTTTCAGTCGAACCTATTTACGTACCACCTGTTTGACACTGATTGTCTGGTTGACTTTGATAATTATTTATTTCGGCCTGACATTGCATCTGAGTAACCTTGGTGGCAACATTTATGTGAATACGGTAAGTGTCACCTATCCTCCAGACTGTATAGCCCCCATCATCCTTGACATTAAAAAAAAATATATATATCTGAGTATCCCTGATAAGTTTTGTGAAATGAATGTGGTCGTCGCCAGGTCCTCTCATGTCTATTTCCATTAATGTTTGATTCCGTACAAAAAATAAAACGATGAAATCTATTGACATTTTTAAATAACAAACTAACACACACACTCACATTCAACGAAACATAAATGTATTTATTCACACAATCATATCGGATGTTGGTTTGAGAAACGGACTAAGTCAAAAGATAGTAAAGGTTTGACAGAGCTTGAAAAGAATTAGTCTTTAAAAGTATGACACAACACTTTTCAATAGGGTCCAATTTGAAGATGTTATGCGATTGACTACATACATGCAAATATATATTCCTGATCAGAGTTAAATTCTATGTCAATTAGGGCATGTCCCTTTGTATGTCTGTCTGTACCGTAGCTGTTTGGTATTGCAAATAAGATTTTTCGGTATATCAGCAATTTTTAAGCACCCCATCCCGTTTTGGTGTAGCCCGCATAAAACAAACTGAAATATGCAAATGTTTTGGACACCTTTTCCAACCGAAGTCGCTGTAATTTGACATTTGGGGCTCTTGAAGGGCCACATAGGCTCATGTAGCTCCCATACAAATGTACCACATTCATTTTAGATATTTTGATGGTCATAGTAGCTGAATTTTTGAATTCATGGTTCTTAGTTCGCCGCGACTTATTTACAGGAAATATTGTATATTGGCCGATGTCCCCCTACATTTTAGTATGTGTCATGTGTCTGTAATTTGGTATTTCATTCATGTGGCAGCCAATTTACAATGTTTTGACATAGACCCCTTATAAAGCTCCACCACCGATTTAAGATACTTTACACCGATAAGTATCTCTTTTTGGACACATACGTACATAAATTACAGTAATGGTGTAGTATTTAAAATGCGACTTAGTTCACATCGGAACGAGCATTTCTATTGGATACATATCAACAATTTACGAATATAAATTTTTCATTTAATCTCCATTTCCTTTTATTGCAATTTTTTATTTATTGACTCTGACAAACATATCCTGGCCTAACACCTGACACAACAAATACACACATTCACATGTGTGCGCCGCCTTCCTTTCGGGAATCTGTTCAAATAGGCCATAGCGGGCGCTGTGGAAGCCGTCTCAATATGTCTCAGCGTATTTGTTGTCCTGAAATTGGGTATTCGCTTGAATTTAATCGCCTACATGCTGATACCGGGCATCTGTTGTTTGGCCGTCAATATTGTACCCAAGGGGGATGAACATTTTATTTATGTGATAGCATTGGCTATGATTGGTAAGTGTCGCCTCGCCTCGCCTGTGATCTATTGTGCCGATGCCAATTCAATAATAATCTGTATCTCGTTTGAACTTTTGCAACAGCTAAATGTATTATTGGGGCAAACAATGCCATTATTCCCACCTACACGGCCATGCAGTATCCAACTGTTGTGCGTAATTTTGGCGTTGGAATGGGTAATTTGGCTGCTGGTGTGGCACTGATTCTGGTACCATATATGTGGCTTTTGGTAAGATGAACAAAATTCAAATTTCGTTGGAGGGCTTTCATTTTCATTCTCTATTTTCCAATAGGAACACATCGATCCTTTGTTGCCGATGAGTATCATGGGTGTTTGCGGCCTTATTGGAGCTATAGCATTGGCTCTGATGAAAGATGTTCATCCGTGATTTGTGTCCTCTGTCCACATATGTATGTGTGTGTTTGTGTTTATGTGTATATACTATGCTTAATATTAATCATCAACCATCTGTGATAAAAAGGGTATCATAATCGGTGGCACAGAAAAAATTTGTTAACATTTCTGTATTGTTAATTTGGTATTGTATCCTAGGTGAATATTTTAAGAATTCAGATTTGACAAACCTGTTTCCCCCACTGTTGTTAGTGATATTGTGGGAAAAAACATTTTCTTAACATATTTAAGAAAACAGAATTGGGAAAATCGTTGTTCCCAAACCATTGTGGAATTGGTTTTGTGTGTTACTTTGTTTAGATATTTCACAAATTTTTAAAAGGCAAAAGAAAAGGACCTTTGACTAGTAGTACAAACAAAACAAGCCTATCTTATAAAATTTTATTTGGCTATGTGTTTACAGTATTCGATTTAATACAAAATTAAATCATTGCCTTCGTGGGCAATTCCGTCTTCATTCTACATTATTTTAGGGCAAACTTTCAAATGAAGATGAATCTCGCTTAATTGCTTTCCCTAGCAGAGGTGCAAGTGAAAATATTTCAACATTGTTTCAGAAATCAAATACCTTTCCCATATTTCACATTTTCTGAGTTATTTTAAGTTATATTCCTGTAATTTACGATTAATTTGTTTGAATAGAATAATAAAATGATTTAAGCATAATAAAACAGTGGTTTTAATACGACAAAGAAGTGACAGCAAATCAGAGAATGCTTAACATCTTAAATTGTTTTGTTCCCGTACTGTTTTCATAGTAAGTCTAATAAACAGAAAATAATTAAATCTCTCTCCTTTGAGAGTACAAAATAATAAATAATCCCTTTACCATTCATTTCCAAAAAAATTGAATAAATTATTATTATTACTTTTTTTCAAATATATCGCTCATTTGCTGCAAGACAGGCATGACTATAAAAACAATTTTTCTTTGATTTGCATGTTCCAGTGGTCGGTCCGTCGAGAATTGAGACTTTTTACAGAAAACAACAAAATAATGCTAATTAATTTTCTTATTATTTACATACAGACAGTACTTTTCGTACTGACATGCCATTTATATTTCTTGGAAGATCTTGGACTATCAAAAATAGCTAAATTCATAGAAGTTGCGAAAATGGGAGAATATGGCGAAAAAACTGAAGTTATTTAAAGACTATGAAGGAAATGGATTGAAATGTGGACAATTGAGCGCCAAATACAAAGTAGTTAAATAAACTGTTTATAAAATAATGCAAATTAGTTTTAAAATTAAAAATAAGCTTCAAATTCGTGTAATCTAAAAATGTATGGTTTAATGAAACGGGTAGGTAGAATGCGGTGGTGGCTGTCCGTTTTCCTCAGAATATCAGCATTGTCATGAACTGATTTGCTATGGAATGTTAAATGTTGCAGATATTTTGAACGATGTGGTTTGGGACAAATCTGTTGAAGAATGTCATAATAAGATTCATGATGATGAATCCACTGTTGAAGTTTTTCATTGCAAACATCCCAAAGTTTTTTTTTTAAAGAAGTTGTAGATTACTTTGAAATAATAAAAACATTTTGTACAGATAACGAAATTTAACAAAACTCATTTTTTTTCAAAAAAAAGGAAAAAAAATAGAACCGTTTGTTGTAAATTCCATAAAAAAGAAGCGTACTAAGATTACAGAATTGTTTTAAAAAATGTGAACAATTCACATTTGATTTAATTCTCCAAAAGCATTAAATAAATTTCGTACTTTATTTTTTTTCATTACAATAAGCTTTCGAAGCATTTGAACTAAATCAAATAATATGTTATTGTTTAAACAACTGATTTAATTTAAATAAATATATGAATTTGTTAAAAAAAAAACTTTAATTATATTTAAAAATATAGTCCATGACGTGTATTATATTAGGATTCATTTATAGTCTATTAAAGGGCTTAAAACGAAATTCGGATATAGTCCAAATTCGCTTTAAGTCCACAAAAATTGTGCAACTATAGTTGAGGGCTATAACCACTGTATATACAAAGATACATCCGTTCAAGTAATGTACGTTCATTTGAAAATCGCCGAAATTACAAATCGAGACTTTAATTCATATGAAATGCAATTCTACCCGTCCAGCATAGATAGACTTTTTTCTTTCAACTACGTAATTGTTTAGCCCACCCACACACATTTTTATTACATTTTACTATTTCATCCATAAATAAAATAAATATAGTTTGCTTTCATAAATAAAATTAATATAGTTTGCTTTATTTATTATGATTTATTACTAAGAAAATAAGCCAAAATAGAAAAAATACAATAAAAAAACAACAGCCACTTGTTGTTTTCCTTTCCTAATCGTTTGCGCTATTCCAGTCAGTGGTGTAATTTTTTAAATAAAAATAAAAAATTAAATTTAAAAAATTAAAATGTTTACAGTATCATTTTGTCCAAATTTGTGTGTACAGTCCAACCATGAACAATCATGTTTTTTTCACGTATAATAAAAATGTCCGTGAAAATTGAAAAAAAAAACTTTTGGTTGTTGCCTGAAATAGATAGAAGCAAACTTTCAAAGTTTTTTAGCTTTTCACAAAGCTTCCGGATTAAAGATTTATTCAAAACAATACATATATATATATGTATGTATGTATATGTATTTTGATTTGATGGAAGAACCAATACCAAGAGAAAAAATTGTAATCATTTTCCATTCGATTTGTTCGAAAAATGTTCCTATAAAAATTATTCAGCAACTTATGTTGAGAGAAGAAAATTGTTATTAATAAATATTTATAAAACAAAAACAATTTATAAATCGTGCCATATGTCATTAGAAGATGCCATTTTTTTATGCCTACGGTCAATAACCAAAAAAAGTATACGTAGATTAGTAACCGTGGTACATTTGTACCCATCCAAAGATAGCTCTGTAACTCATTAAAAAATTGGACTATCGTGAGGTTTCTTGTTTTAAATTAGTCTATACGGATCTGATCTAGATGTAGGAACTCAAAATTATACATATATACATTAAAATAATATATATTTATATCCATAAAATATATATAATTAAATCCATCATTGTTTTTGTCCCTGTATACCAAGGGAAAACCAGGGTAGTTTGTGACTTCCACGAGTCGCCCTAATGGCCCTGTGACAAGGCCACAAAGGGGTTGAGGAACACCTAAATAAGATCCCAATAAAAAATAACTAAAAAAGCCTAACCCATTCGAAAGCTATAACGAATTTACTATAATTATTTTAGATAGATTATCATTTAAGCATACCTCAAGAAAATTTGATCCAAATATCTCCAATATTAAACATTTTACAGCATTTATATTCCAAAAAGGTACAAATGTAACCGGTTATTGACCGTAGGGTTAAATTTAAACGAAACGTTTACTATTTTTGGGTATCGTTTTTCTAAGACGGTTATTTCGTAGCGAATATGTCCTATTTTATTTTGTGTTTATACATACAGTGGTGGCCACAGAATTAAAACATTTACTGTGGTAAACATTTTTTGATCAGCCCTCGATTCGTTGGAAGTATTTCTGAAAATTTTTTTAATTCAGAAAACTTCGATACACTGCACTTAAGAGATTTAGTGTGAAAATAGAAAATTATTGCATGAAATGTTTCCATAAATAACGGTTTTTTGAAAATACATCGACTTTGAAGTGGCCATATAATTAAACATTGTGTGAGATTTTTTACATTACTGCATTTTTTGAAAATATTTTTAGAAAAGCTCTTTAATTTAGTTAAATTATGTAAACTTAGCACCGATAAAATCATTTACAGATCAAAATTGTTGAGAAATCTGTAAAATCTATCAAAATTGCCAAAAATTTGTACAGTACACCTTACATTCAGATAATCACACTTATTATAGAAAATAAAGGTCGGAATGCACCAGAAATTGCTATAATTAGTAGAAAACAATAAATAATTCTCAAAATAAATAAATATTTGAAATAAAAACTCAACAAATGGGAATTAACCTAAAAGAACGATTCAATTTCAATAGACTTTACTGAATAAGGCCGGAATATTTTTGCAGTATGTAAGAAAAAATCGATTGATATTGGTATTTATTATATCAAAGCGACTGTTCGAGTAGTACAGAATATATTTTATCAAAAAATATATCTGTAAGAACAGAACGAACAGAGATCAACGCCTAGGTTGACGAGTAAAAGTTTCTTGCACACAGCAGTATGTTCGATGGACACTTAAAATCTATTGAACATGACAATATTTTTCCAAAATAATATTTTTTGAATCGAATAACTTCCACTTAATCTATTTTAGTATCAAGGAATATTTGAAGTCTTGTGTTGAACATCAAAAATGCTGCTGTGTGCCAGAAACTTTTACTCGTCAACCTAGGCGTTGATCTCTTTTCGTTCTGTTCTGACAGATATATTTTTTGATAAAATATATTCTGTACTACTCAAACAGTCGATTTGATATAATAAATACCAATATCAATCGATTTTTTCTTACATACTGCAAAAATATTCCGGCCTTATTCAGTAAAGGCTATTGAAATTGAATCGTTCCTTTAGGTTAATTCCCATTTTTTGAATTTTTATTTCAAATATTTATTTATTTTGAAAATTATTTATTGTTTTCTACTAATTCTAACAATTTCTGGTGCATTTCGACCTTTTTCTTATAATAAGGGTGATTATCTGAATGTAAGGTGTACTGTACAAATTTTTGGCAATTTTGATAGATTTTACAGATTTTTTCAAAAATTTTTATCTGTAAATGATTTTATCGGTGCTTAGTTTACATAATTTAACTAAATTAAAGAGATTTTCTAAAAACATTTTCAAAAAAATGCAGTAAAGTAAAAAATCCCACACAATGTTTTAATTATATGGCCACTTCAAAGTCGATGTATTTTCATAAAAACCGTTATTTATGGAAAAATTGCATGCACTAATTTTCTATTTTCAGACTAAATCTCTAAAGTGCAGTATATCGAAGTGTTCTGAATTAAAAAAATTTCAAAAATACTTCAAACGAATGGAGGGCTGATCAAAAAATGTTTACCACAGTAAATGTTTTAATTCTGTGAACACCACTGTATATGTTTACCATTGTACTAAACGTTTCAAAATGCACTGCACTAGGCATTCGCTTTCTTATTTATGTGGATATTCCCCTTTGCAAAAAGAAACATATTCGACCTATAATCAGTCAACTGATAATGCCAGTTACGTCATAATCTTATTGTCAATGGCATATTAAATCATTGCTGTGAATGCAAACGTCTCCATGCTGCTGTACATCCACAACTATTTAAAATGCTTTAAACGTTTTCGAACTGTCTTCAAAGTAAGTCAATTTCTTTTTTATTTACATGCAAACAGTAACAACACTTTTGCCCATTTAATTTACAACAAATACGCACATAGCTGTGGTGGGAACTGTATCACCTCTGCCGTCAATACCACATGAAATATCTTAACTCATAACAATGTTCCCAATGACCGACCACCGGATAAATTTGCAAATTAGCTTCAGAAAAAGTAAATTAAATCGCACAAAAACCGTTATGACACAAGCGCAAAATGAGCGAAATAGAGCAAAATGGTATTCCTTTTGTGAACTCTCTATGCGGTCGCACGCCTGCGCACACCCAGCCAGGGCTCTAAGAAAGACAACGTCAGCGAAAAGTTTAAAAAGCTCTGGTTGCTGTTATACAGCAGTTACTAGACGCGCTCATTTGAAGCCACGTATAAAACTGCAAAGCTGCACCAAATGGAAGACATTTTATCAAAGCGTTTTGTTGGTAACGGTTATCGATCGAGCCAAAAAATAAAAGTGAATTGAACAAATTTAGAGCGCTGACACGCCGATCATACAAAAAAACCAAAATGATATTGCAAAATCCACAGGTAAGTAAGAATTAATTAGACATAAGCCACCAGCCAGCACGGCCCAAATACTCCAAACTGGACTACTAAAACGGATTTGTGCATGTGTTGGGCGAACATTGGGCTACTCGCTACTCCGTTCTAAGTCATGATTGTGGAATGTTGAACCGGATTGGATTTTTTTGGCATAAGTCGTCATTATTCATACAGACCCAAATGGTCATTGGTGTGGAGTGCCAAAGAAGTTGATTACCTATTTAACCAAAACACAGAATTGAAAATACAATAATAGCCAATCTATTTCGAATAAAGTGTATTGTGTGTGTGTGTGTGTGAGTGTGATAGCGGTAATTAGTGCGCCCATTAAAATTTTATCTCAATACAGCCAATTCAAATCGGATTTATTGTCTCTTTTACTATAATTGTTATTATCCCAGCCCAAGGTCTGATAACTGTCCCAACAACGACAACAGCAACAACTGATAGTTACTTGTTTTTTTGTAATTACATTACCAAAGAAACCACAAACAACAATAAATTTCACAAAACAATGTTCGGTATGCATGCAGAAGTACGCGGTCACAATAATAAATCCAATAACTACATAGCTGGCCATTGATCACTCTTTGCAACTTCTTGTCGGCCACACAGTCGTGCCATTGTAACAGCGAACAAAAAGATATCATGCCAATCAAATGTTTGTTGGCCACAAACAAAAACAACAACGACACTGAGATCCATGAAGTGGGGCGGCAACCAAATGCTGGCTACTTAGCCAATTTGTTTTGTTGGTCCATACGTACACCCAGCGTGCGTACTATGAATGACAGTGCGAACTGAAATATGAAACTAATTTCAATGGATTGACCTTTAAGCGGTGGATTAATTAGTGGTGTATTTGTGTTCCACAATTGCTGTTGGCATTCACGCAGCTGTCTGTTCCGGCCACAGATTTTACATTGGCCGTTCGAAGGTAAAGCTCTCGGCAATGCCCAAAGAATGTTATGTTCTGCCTCTCTCTGTACCTTTGGAGTGTTTTTGCTTCAGTTCAGATCGGTTGTTGCTGTGGAACTTTAATGCCGGCTTGCACAGCCCCGAAGAAACTGATTAAAAATATTGTTTTTCTTGATCTAGATTTTTTATTATTTTTTGTTTTTGGGCTCCGAAACAAAACAATCGGTTGTTAGTAGTTACAGTCTTTGTTGTAACTGTTCTCCCCTTTCTTCTTTCTGCATGTCTTAAGAATATGACAGCTGCTGGATATAGTGCAGTAACTGTTACAGTTTTCAGAATAGCATTTGCCATGACGTTAGTGTCTGTGTTTATGAGCAATACACATATACAAAATGTTATATTTTATGAACACACCCAAGGACGTCCACACTTCCAAATGTATCTCCATTAATATGTCTGTATGAAGATTTTAAACACATGCTTTTCAAAATTGCATATGAGCGTAACTAGGCAAATGGATCACATTAAACTTAAAGAAAAATAAAAAATAAACTATGCACAACAATTACAAGGTAAATCTATTGGATTTGTACGCAAGTGTTTCGCTCGCTAGTTGAAAGTGAGTTCAAAAATGTTGTTTGACATCGACCGGTATAATGCGATCATAAACAAATTGACTGATATATTGCGAACTTTTTGTTATTGTATAGAATGTACAGCAAGATCTGTGTCAATAATACTAGTGTATTATGAAATAAATGTGTAACTCATTTTTTTGGACGTTAGGTACAGGAGAACATACGAACAGTCGCTGAATTTGTGTATGTGGAAGGTAGGATTGATATAAGATAACATAAATCTAATTTACATTTTCCCCAAATCTTCTATAGCCACTAACTGTGCATGATTCAGTAAAATGCATTAAAAATTATGAAAATTTTTTTTGTTGTTTTCAATTGGATGATTTTTAATACATTTTGCTACATTAATTTGTAAAACCATCCGAATGGTCGTGCATATTTAATATAGAAAACGGATGCAACAAGGTTTGCTACGAAAAAATGTTATATAATAAAGCGTCATTCGTGAAAATGGAACTGCTCTGTTTTGTTAAAACAGAAAATGTAATTCCAGCTAAGAAAACTAAATATTGACACTAAAACGGCTATTTGTTATGCAAAATAAAGTAATGGGTATAACATTTTTTAACAAACAGTTGTTACGAACAATAGAACTCTCCTTTACACTTCTAATTAATACTCTTTCCCACCATACTTCCGCATACTTTTATGTTAGCAGTCTTAAGCCATTAGTCATTTTGTAAAAGAATAATAACTTCTAAAGTTGATCGAACGTCTGTACAATCTGTTATTATTACTGTGTGTGATTGTATTGTGTCCTATTATAAATTCTTTTGATACAAAAACACTTTCGATTACTGAGAAAAAAAGACAATTGCGGGACATGCCAAGAAAATCTGACTGAACAAACCAGTTTCGAAACAATTCATTTATGTTATTTGAAATTCAACTGAAACTCAAATATATAAAATTGTAACGTCGGTGTGCTGTGTGCCTGCAGACGGTTGGAATAAATTGTATAGCTGACCCGTTCGTTGTGATGTTAACTATGTGTGGAATGCTCGTTTTTGGTATAGTTATTAAAATGCATGTATTGGAAAAAATAATAGAAATATGTCTTGTATTACCTTGCTGAATTATTGCACGTTATATGCCTTCGAAATGATTTCAAAAGTGATATAACGGCGTAAACATAATTATTTAAATTCATATTCAGTTTACTTTTATTTTTTATTATAAAAACCTGATTGTTTTTAAACGTTTGGATAATTGTTTACGCAAAATAATTGCCAATATTAAGCTAATCAGAGAACCACCGTAGAATTGCAAAGTTTGCTTTATTTTGTCATTTGTACTTTACCTTTAAACACAATTACACAATTATAATAATAATTATTTTTATTTAATGACATCCATAAAACAAGTAGATTCTTGCAGTTCTAGATCTTAGATCCTAACAAATGCTCATGCATATTACTCATACAAGCATAGTGCATGATCAAACAAACATCTCGCTAGCAAATCATTTTCCATTTCATCATGAATATCTTAACAAAACCCACACTTTGCAGTTTCATTGAAGAAGAAGTTCTTCGCAAGTTTCATATGGGTGTGGGACATACAATTCGCAAAATGAATGCCATATTCAAAACAAAGCTTTGCATTATTTTTGTTACAAATTGTAGGCTTAAACACAAAACCAAAACAAACAACTACATTGATGGAAAATCAAGTTCCTTGTTTGTGGTTACTCAATCTACTGGTAAATTTTCCACCTGAACGAATTCAAGTATCGAAAATGAAACTACGCCAAATTTCTGCACAAAAATGAAATGCAATTTATTGGAGTACTAGCAAGAGCTGGCAAACGGAAGGAGGGAACAAACAAGCATTTTTTATGTCGATTAAACTAGTTTTATAATATCTGCTGCTCCAATGCCTTACATTCTGTCTACATGTCTGTTAGATAGCCAGTCAGGTATTCAATGACGTAATCGTCCAACTGGTGAATTTATTTAACAACCGCGACCAGAAGAAAGTTGAATGTTGCAAATTCAAATTGCATAGTGCGTGGTAAAAGGGGTAATAAACCACACAAAGATTGAAAACAAAAACTTGCAAGCTAATACCGATGTCTGGTAATGACATTGAAGGAAAGTCGTTGCAATTTAAATTGTATCTTTATATATTTCCTCAAACAAGAGAAAGAAAGAAAAATCAAGAAAAACCTGTGGATGTCCACTTGTCGTCGATGGTAGCCGGTAGTGATGCAGAAATAAATGCATCAATGAACAGTGCTCATTAATGGCATTTTAAAAATACAACAAACATTAACTACTCATTCATATTGCATTACGCCATAGCAGGTGGTCACTAAGGGTTATAAAAACATACGCCCATAAGAAAAATTAAATGTTTGGCCATACCCTCACTCAACTATAATTTATGCAATGCAAGAAATAAATACATGTATATTTTTATGAAACTATCTATTATAAGATCAACAAAATTCAAATGTGAATAAACACATAACACTAGACAAACAGTCAAACCGAGAGAACGAACACCGACCCGTGTAAATTCTTAATTCAAGTGTATGGGCACATTATATATTAATAAAGAGTACTTCTGTTCGTATCCAATCGATTCAGTTATTATAATCAAACTGTTATTCAATATCCAATCGATTAAATGATTATATTCCAACATTTTACAATTTCAGTTGCTTATTGTGGCTGCAGTTCTGTTCACCTGTTGTGTGGTTGAGGCTCAACTACCACCACGTCTATTAATACCCGGAGCCATACCTTTGCCCGCACCACGTTCTGCGCCTCAAGCTCGTCGCACTCGGCCACCAACTTTAAGAGCACAAAACAATTTCATTCCGGCAAATATACCGTCTCGCATTGAAGAAGCGAAACCGGTCACTGAGTCGGCGGAGGATGAAACACCCGATGTGTTCTTGCCAAATCTGTTGCGAGAGCAACAACTAGCTCAAGCACAACAATCACAATTCCAACAAGCTGCTTCGGCCTTTTTGAATAACGACCCAAGTGTGAATGCATTGCCAGAACCATCAATCGACTTTGAGTCATACACAACTCGGTTCCCAGATAGGACTCAGCCTCCACCAACGGTACAACCTAGTCAGAAGCCCAATTTCAACGATTTTGGCATAGGCTCTAATGTCATTAGTACACCCAGATTTAGTCAGGAGAGACAGGCACCTCCACCACCAATTCAAGCCCCCATACCACAACGTGAACGTGCCAACGTGATCAGAAGTCGACCAACTGCTGTACGTGAACCCAGACCTCAGTATGATACCCAGCCTGTTCAAGTGCCACAAAGACCAAGACCCAAACCCATCCAATCACGCCCACTTTATGATCAAAACCAAATAGAAGATAACCAGCAAAACAACAGACGTCAACGGCCTGTCGCACAAACCACAAGGAAATGGCGTGAAGAGAATGAGGACGGCACAATCGTTTGGGGCTATGAAAACGACGATGGCTCCTTTAAGGAAGAAGTTATTGGCGTTGACTGTATAACAAAGTAAGTAAAACCTCACACCCCCACCTATTTACCGAACCCAACAAACGGATTTGAATTGTATTTTAGGGGAACTTATGGCTACATTGATCCTGATGGTAACAAACGCGAATACCACTATGAAACTGGCATCAAATGTGACCCAAACAAACGTGACCAGACCGATGAATATCAAGAGAACAGCTTCATCAACTACGACGACAACAAAGCCGTACTGCCAAACGGCATTGAAATAGATATGACCCAGCTGGGCAAGAAAAAGTCAAAGAGACCTGGTGTCAATTACCGAAACTGATGTGTCAATCATAACATGCTAGTTCATAAGTACAGCACTGTATCCATAATATTTTGTAAAGTTTAGGTTTTATTATTTTAGAACATACAAAGTCTTACCATTTATCATACAAATTGTTCGTATTCAGACGTTGAAACAGTACCTTCAACATAAATTAAATGATATGACAAAGAGTGTATGTATTCCTTACGACTAGTTTATTATATTGATGGATCGATAGAATGCCAGACAGACAGACAGTGGCATAGTGTTGTTTTTGTACGAATGAAATGAATGGTTACTAGAGACATATTAGTATGGTCGTTGGCGTCTAATGGGTGGTAGTCGATTTGGCGGAGTTATGGAAATATCTAGAAAGTCTCCGATGCAGAATTTCGCTTGAGCTAACGTCTTGTTGTCATCGGCACCCTTTTGACCCGTGCATGTAACACCGATTTCACGCATCTGAAAGTGGTTGTTTCGGAAGTTAGGATACACCACTGCAAAGTCGAAGTATGTTCCTTTCTTGCGGGTGTCCGGGTTAACGTCGCGAACCAAAGAGGTGAGTTCATGCAGCGAAGCATCCATCCATGTATAGATTTGTAACTCATTTGTAGGAACATTTCCGTACATATATTCCGACACCGAATGATGCCTACCAGTCGAGCAGAATACTCGCAAAAGCAATGGGCATGTCTGCAAAGAAAACGAATAGTGTTATATTTTGCATGGTCGGTCATTCACCTGGCTTCTAGAGTGTATTTTGAGTTTAAGAGGGGCAAAACTCGACTTGTTCAGAAACTGCCGGTTCTTATAGATTCCCTTGCAAAACAAACGCATTCGATTGATAAGGGCGACAAAAGTATCTTGCAGTAAAGAACGACACGAGCTGTGCCCTTTAACTTAAATTGCCCTCTTGCCAGTTCAATGTTTACCTTCTCACGATCTATTTGTTTAATTTGGGGCTTTTCTTCTACAATCATAGATTCCACATTAGCCATATTTTATGTTGTCCAAATTGTTGTTATTGAATAAAGAAATCTGTCTTTTCGGTTTGGTGAACGGTGGCACGGCAGGCAACTATAGTAACAAACTAAGAGTCTAAACGCAACCAGAGAGTCTCGAGTCAGCGTCATACTTTTTCGCCGGCGTGAAAACCAAACGAAAGAGTTAGCGTTAGCGGTACAAAATGTCAATTATTTGTTTTCATTTTTTGACAGAAAATTTTACGTTGTGCAAACCAAAATCAATTTATTATTTAATAAACAATAATGTCAAGGAAGTTGTATAAAATTATTGAAAAAATTATATTTCTTCCATTTTATTATAAATTCGTTAAAAAACATCCACAATCTTTGAAAATTTTTGTTTTTTTAACAGCACTGCCATATGTTTTGATATAAATTCTCATTGAAATTTGGTAGCACTGTTGATTTTTACCTAAAATATGGCAACTCAATTGAGAGCAAGAGAGAAATTTTGAGTATGACGCTGAGCAAAAATGAATAAAATCTATTCTAGCGTCATGCCGCTAGAGAGTCTAAACGCAACCAGAGAGTCATGAGTCAGCGTCATACTTTTTCGCCGGCGTGAAAACCAAAAAAAAGAGTTAGAGTCTAAACGCAACCAGAGAGTCACGAGTCAGCGTCATACTTTTTCGCCGGCGTGAAAACCAAACGGAAGAGTTGGCGTTAGCGGCACAAAATGTCAATTATTTGTTTTGATTTTCTGACAGAAAATTTTACGTTGCGCAAACCAAAATTTTTTTCAATTTAATTTCAATTTTTATTTATTTACATTCAATACAAAGAAAGCCATTTAAGGCCAATTATACATGTATTGAGAGATTAACATAATATAAAGCTAAAACTATGGCAGAAAAATAATTTTATTTGTAATAAAGTTAATATAATAATGTAATAAAAAAAAATAATAAACGAGAATGGGAATGGCCCCCCAGCCATATGAATATTGTAAAAAATCAATTTATTATTTAATAAACAATAATGTCAAGGATCTTGGATAAAATTATTGAAACAATTATTTTTCTTTCATTTTATTATAAATTCGTTAAAAAACATCCACAATCTTTGAAAATATTTGTTTTTTTAACAGCACTGCCATATGTTTTTTTTAAAAATTCTCATTGAAATTTGGTAGCACTGTTGATTTTTACCTAAAATATGGCAACTCAATTGAGAGCAAGAGAGAAATTTTGAGTATGACGCTGAGCAAAAATGAATAAAATCTATTCTACCGTCATGCCGCTAGACGCGAACGTCAGCCGTCGCGATTTCCCGTTGCCTATAAGAAACACACGGCAAACGACTGTCGCTGACTCTAGACTCTATGGTTGCGTTTAGACTCTTAGCGTTAGCGGTACAAAATGTCAATTATTTGTTTTCATTTTTTGACAGAAAATTTTACGTTGTGCAAACCAAAATCAATTTATTATTTAATAAACAATAATGTCAAGGAACTTGGATAATATTATTGAAAAAATTATTTTTCTTCCATTTTATTATTAATTCGTTAAAAAACGTCCACAATCCTTAAAAATATTTGTTTTTTTAACAGCACTGCCATATGTTTTGATATAAATGCTCATTGAAATTTGGTAGCACTGTTCATTTTTACTTCCGGAACGAACTAGTTCATTGGAACTATTCCGAGAAAGGAACGAACGGAACTAGTTCCAGTTCTTTAATTAATATAATTCCTTTCTCTGATCCAGTTCCTTTTTTGAACTATTTGAAGCAAAGGAACTGTATGGAGCAAAGGAACTATAAAGAGCAAAGGAACTATATGGAGCAAAGGAACTATTTGGAGCATAGGAACTATAAAGAGCAAAGGAACTATATGGAGCAAAGGAACTATATATGGAAAAACGAAAAAAAGAATGATGAAAGAGAGAGATTCAAAAGAACTATGTAGGAGTCGGAACTATATGGAGCAAAGAAATTGTATGAACTATTATATGGAGCAAAGGTACTATATGGATCAAAGGAACTATATGGAGCAAAGGAACTATATATGGAAAAACGAAAAAAATAATAAAAGAGAGAGAGAGAGATTCAAAAGAACAGTGGGAAGCCTCCAAGACTCCAGCCTTCATAAAATTCGCTTGTTAATCGTCGTTCTGCCAAGACTCAAGCGACGTCGTACGCAAACCTTCGCCAACAAATGGTCTGTTCCAGTACTTTTTATACCCTCCACCATAGTATGGAGGGTATATTAATTTTGTCATTCCGTTTGTAACTCATCGAAATATTCATTTCCGACCCTATAAAGTATATATATTCTTGATCAGGGTAAAATTCTAAGACGATCTAGCCATGTCCGTCCGTCTGTTGTAATCACGCTATCTTCTGAAGGAATTGAGATAGGGTGCTGAAATTTTGCATAGGGTTGTCTTTTGTCTGCAGGCAGGTCAAGTTCGAAGATGGGATATATCGGTCCACGTTTAGGCATAGCTCCCATATAAGGGTACCCCCAATTTTCGGTATTTTGGGGTTCTTGAGCGCGTTTTTCAAGCGAATTTGTAGTAAATGTATCCACAAAAAATTATAAATATAGGTCCACTTTTTCTTGTAGCCCCCATATAACGGTACCTCCTAATTTTCAGTATTTTTTGGGTTTTTATCGTATTTTTCACCGAATTGGCTGTAATTTAGTATTTTGAGTTCTTAGCAGGTACCAAATCTCTCCACAAAAAAATTTAAATATAGGTCAATTTTTTCGGATATCCCCCATATAAGGGTACCCCCCAATTTCGGTATTTTGGGGTTCTTGAGCGCGCTTTTCAACCGAATTCGCTGCAATTTTGTACATTGGGTTCATATTGCGTACCAAATATCTCTACTAAAAATTATAAATATCGGCCCACTTTTTCTGGTAGCCCCCATATAAGGGCACCCCAAATTTTCGGTATTTTGAGGTTCTTAAGCGCGATTTTCAACCGAATTCGCTGAAATTTGGTACAGTGGGTTCATATTGGGTACCAAATATCTCTATTTAAAATTATAAATATCGGTCCACTTTTTCATTTCAAATACCTGTCAGTATACCTGTGGTGGAGGGTATCCAAAGTTCGGCCCGGCCGAACTTAACGCTTTTTCACTTGTTTAATAGTAAAGCTAGTAAAAGGGAAACATTTCAAGTCGGGATAAGTAAATCGACTTTCGACTAATCGATTAATCGCCTTTCTGTATTAATCGATTTTCTTCTTTAAGCCGTGAACTATGAATACTTTGGGTACTCGTCCAACAACACAACAAATCAAAAAAAAACTAATTTCCCAAAAATAACATATTCCAGAACTTTATTTCGTCTGATGACAACAATAAAGTTTTTAGTCGATTTTGCATTATGGCCCCCACACACTATACTGCCGTACTGCCGAAATTCATCGGATTAAAAGGGGTTCATTTTCAAAATCAAAATTATTTTGATTTTCGTACTGCATGAAATTCCCACACATACATTCATAAAATTACTAATTCTACTTCAAAAGCTTTCATGTATGCCCTATGGTGTGTGGGGCCCTTTAGTCGGTAAAATTCAAAAATCAATTTTGAGCAAGTTTGACAAAATCGAAAGATCGAAAAGTCAACTTTTTTGTTGAGAAAAATGCATGGGGAGAAAATTGTAAATTAGGGATACCGCAAGTCAGTAATAATGGCAGCACTACACAATAGGTGTTGTTCATATGTGCTGTCACTTAGGGAATATGATGGACTTAACGAAGGGAGCTGAAACGAAGAAATTGCATTTGTTTACTGTGATTTTTAAGAATGTGTACTCAAAGTATATAATGTCTGAGAATCTCCCCGAAATGCTGGAGAGGGCAATCAAGAATAGTCGAAAGCATGGCCTATAAATAAGGTCACCAAGGGAGACCAGCTGATTATCGATACCTCTCATGTTTGCTGTCAAAATGCATTATTGTGAATTGACTTCCATTATGAAAACCTAAACAAAGTCAAAATTTTTGACATTAGACTTGAGAAAAAACAGCTGTTTTCCGTTTTCGATTGCTATCTTAGTGACCTTATTAATATATCTTGGTCGAATGATTTATTTTCTAAAATAAGCTTCCCGCAACTATATATTCCTATTCCATAACTTGTCGACCAATTACTACTCGTATGTATTCGGTAACCACATTCAGCCCTACTGTCACTGAACATACCCATAAAATAGTTTTTGCATCGGTTTGTTGTTGACTTTGCGTTTCAATAAAAAGAAAATAATTATCGTATATCGCATTTGTGCGGCTGTAAGTAATAGATTGTCATTGTGTGCTTGATATATTTATTTTGGGTCTGATTGTCCGCGGCTTATATAAGTTCGGTAAAATGTGACTTGGTCCTGTGTGTATTTGATGTCCTTCCAAATTGAAAACAAAATTATTTCCCATACATACAGACATGTATTGGTTTGGTTGGTATTGATTGTCGACGATCGATCGAATAGTACGACACATCTTTAACGCCAGTAACAGGGAGGGGGTGGTATGTGGGTGTACGTACGATGACGGCTGAATGGCGATGTGACGTCTATCGCTTGTTTTACAATTATTTTTAAGATTTTTTCAACAAGTCACATCAATGTATTGGTGATGATGGTGCTCTAGAACCGATTTCGTGCATTGACGTGATTTTGTACGTACGTACATAAATCATATGTGAGGAATTCACATCACAAATGAGGTGTCTGTCTTTTGGGATTTTGCGGACAGGAGGGGATGTATTGGGGTGTATCGTATCGAATATCCAAATTTATGGATGGAAATAATCGGCACGGAATTCCAATTTTCATTTGCGGACAGAAGGGAATGTGTTTGGGTGTAACGTATCAAATATCCCCACTTATGGATGGATACATTATGAACGAAATCTTAAATAGATCTATGATGAACAGATTTACGTTGGAAATACAGCATAAATCTAACTTATTGCCGTTGGTAATACAAAATTATTTGTAGAGTTAATCTTGTCAGCTGTAAATTAGAACAAAGAATAATGTAAACTATGTGTTTCCTTTTAGAAAATATGACATCTACACCACCTAAAAATAACTGCAAGTTAAAATCGAGCCATAACAGCAGTGGTTCTACCAGCATTGATAAATTGTCTCCCGATCAGGATGTCTTCATAAATCCAACGGATGGTCTGCCCAGTCAGCATCCCACCTTGCCCGATGGAGAAGTCGACAGTAACAGCGAACCGGAAGTGGATCCCGACTCGTTCGACGATTTGCCAACGTCTATTATAGTCACCAATATTCATTCAGAAGTTTTTTCCAATCCTCAGTTGAAGCAGGAAATGGAAGATCTGTTCCGTTCATTTTGCGATTCGGCGACGTTTCAATGGCTGCGCAGCTTCAGACGTTTACGTGTTAACTATGATAACGCTATAGCTGCGGCAAATGCACGCATCAAACTGCATCAGTATGAATTCAATAAGAAGACAGTGATAACGTGCTACTTTGCGCAGCCGGTAACACCCGTATCGAACAAAAATCTGCAGCCACCAGCTCCAGTGAAACAGTTCCTAATATCGCCTCCAGCTTCGCCACCAGCTGGTTGGGAACCCAGGGAAGAAAATGAACCGCTAGTGAACCATGATCTACTGGCAGCTTTGGCCAGTCTCACGCCCGGAGAATCTCATGAACTCCATCCACAAACTGAAGACCAACCTGCAATAGTAGTTCACACAGCCATGTTGCCAGAAGCTACTATTGACAGTGCAGTGCGTCCAAAGTTGCCCATTGTTCAAACCAAACGTCCAGAAAGGGCGTAAATAACAATATTTGCATGAACGTACGTCTGTATTGATTTTGATTGAAAAAGAGTGGGAGAGAGACAAGGATTTCCCCTAGATTCGTAAATACACATTTTCATCTTAGGGTATTATTGAATTATCTTCTGTATGTATGGACTCTTTCTTCAAGTGGAGGACATTCCCACATGCACAAAGAGAACTGGCACTATTTAACTAACCCGAACACTAGATGCTGTCTCCATGTAATTGAATAGTGCTTTCTTTCCAGACCATGCATTGGAATTGAAAGGTATGAACGAGGCTGTTTGTTTTAAAACTGAAGCTGTACACAAATTGTTTAAGAGTTATAACAAGTTACAAATATGAATAACCTTGAGCATTTTCCAAAACCAATCATTACGAATCGAATTAGTTGTATTCTTAAAGCCCTTATTTAATTTATTTAATACTGTCATTTTTACAAATGCAACTGCATTGACCATTTCATTTAGATATTGTGATCCTTTTGTTTTGATGTAGATACTCAAAAAATATATTATAAAACAACAAGAGCTCATAATGGTTCGTGTATAGTTTAAGTTATTTAGTTAGTAATTTATTATTGTACAAATTCACACACATACTCATAGAAGCAAAAAATAAAAATACGGCACAGAAATATAGTACGCTGTGCTTTCCAAAGGAATTAGAAGTAAAACTAGAGAAATATTGTTTGCAAATAAAAAAAACGAATTAAACTATCCAAAGAATTATTACTATTATCTTCGATTTCCTTTGGAATTTAGCCAATAATTTGCAAATGATTCTGAGTTCGCATTAATTGTTATAAGATTTTAAATTTAAACAAAAAACAGAAAAATATATGTATTATCATTAACATATGAACGAATTAATAAAGGCGCTGATTCTGAAAAATTAAATATACATACATCTTTAGTTAAAAAACAATATTTTTATTTGCGAGTAAATGTGAAAACCTATTAATAAATATCCTGTCTGTCTGAGGTAAAAAATCTTTGGGAATTACAAAATTCTTATAAAACAAAAGCAATATTAAAAACTGTAATTTATTATTGAAAGAATACTGGACAACTATTTTTATATTATAGACAAACAAACGCTGCTTTGAGTCCGACTAGTTTGAAAGACTGACATGTACTATTTGTAATATTACGACTCGACCACATTGGAATTGCAAATATACACTAAATCGCATGTGACTTTAAAATAGTGTGATTGAGGTCACAAAAACACTTACGTTTTCATTAGGTAGTAGTATTGTTAGGAATTCTATATAAAAAAGACAACTCAAATGTATATTATTTGCAAATTTTAAAGCACAACACTGGCATAATTTACAATTGGGCTGTCCCGTACCACAAGAATCTACTCGATTTTACTATTTTCTTCGATATCATAAAGGAAAATTCGTTATCGTAGTAAAAAGTAGTAGATTCTTGCAGTACGGGAACAGACCATATGTTAAATATTTTCATGTTTAACTTGTGTATATTATTTGAAAATAATTGTAATAACAATTGTATTTACTTAACTAAAGACCAATCAATATCAATTTCAAATTTCTGGGATGAACACAAACTGCATATACATAAACAATCTTAACTCAGATATGCCGGTGTATACAGTACCAGTACAAATATTTTCCTAGTTTCCCAAATTGAAAAAAAAATCTAACATGGATTTAAAGACTGCACTACATATATTATGAGATCGACATATGTAAACTGAAGATAATATTGTTGCAGCTTAAGTTGAGTTTAGATGCACATCTCCGAATTTTTTGACATTTTTGCCACAGGTAGATCTCATCTGCCTGATAGCGAAAATATATGACTTTAATGGGGTAAGTCCATACTTTCCGAGATATGGACCAGAATTCATATGCGTATAACTTCGTCAGTTAAGGACCAATGATGAAAATATTGGCGGCTATTTAGAAAAACATGTTAATTAAAAAAGAATTTTCCGAATTTTCCATCTGTACATAGGACAGATGAACGAAGGCCGGATATCAAAACAAATTTTTAATATAAAATAAACTTTTTTGGAAAACTTGTAACTAAAACCAATTTAAGTGAAAATATACAAACATATCAATATTAGCTTCATCGGCCCATAAATGAAGAAGTTATAAGCATAGGAATTGCGAAATTTCAGAGGGCCATATCGCGGGAAGTACGAAATTCCTCCATGAAACTCATATATTTTTGTGATCAAAATTTCCCAAAAAAATCGAGATTTCCGAGCACTCCTGCATTAGAAAAACTTTGATTCATTTTCACTTACCTTTGAAGTTTCAACTGACATCAATGCATAGGTGCCCATCAGTATACTTTAAAGTAGCTGCCTACTCACACGCATTGTTATGCTCTTTCAGTCAGTCGTTGTTTGACAGGCAACGAATGAACACATGTTGGGGTGCGCGCACGACGTCGAGTCCGCAGAACTAAAAAATCAACGAAATAACACTTAGGGATAAAAGTGTTTCAGTATATTTGGATTTTTATTTTATTATTCAAAATGCGTTTTGTATGTTTAAAAATTTTTAAAAACAACAGAACAATTGCTATTTTTTTAAAAGAATTAAATATTTGATAATTATCGTAGTATTTAATATTAATATTTATTATTACAATATGATTATCTCGATATATTCTACTTTATAATCTTTATTAGATTTTTGTGACATATACAATTTGTAATTCATATAAAAAAATTTTAATAATGATTTTAATTTATATAATAACAAAAATTAAATTCTTCAATAATTTTTCCGACCACCAAAATGTACACACAATTTTGTTCGGTACTGTTCTGTTTTCTCTCACACATACTAACGCATTTTAATTTTGGGCACCTATGCATCAATGATTCTCCCTAAAGCTGCGGTGATGGCGGCGACTGCGACTGAGACGACATCGAATGCGTAAACGTACGACGAAAACACGAGATAAACAGAAACACACACACCGACATGACCATCGAAATAAAAGAACAACAGAACAATTTTGCCAAACATATTTCAATTTCTTTAACACAAATTTTAATAATGAAATTAAGAAATATTTTGAAAATGCAATTACAATATTTCGAAAATCACCACAGAGACAAATTTTCACTTGCCAAAAATAACAAACACGAACGAACACACCAAATTCGGCAATTAAGTCGGCAGAACGATATTAAAACACAAGAATAGATGGACATCTCGAAAATGTCTTTTTTAGCGCATTAAAATTAGATATTTTACAAAAATAAACAAATTTACTGATTCATAAACTATTAATAACACTTTACAATTAACATTTCTTAAAACAGTTACCGAAAACACGACTCGCGAAACCGTCGACCAAATTAAAATTTGTGCAACCTGTTGCAATGGAAATGTCAATGAACTAATGACAGAATAATAATAGAGTTGCCATTATCAATGATGTGATGACAAATAACGGGACCGATTAATTGCAAAATGCTAAAGTGGATTAAATGTATTAGCAGTTATCAGATTTCCTTACTATGAATTATTCTCATTATTGCAAAGATCAATTTTAAAGATATGGAGTTAATTTTGCTACATTTCATATAATATCAAATTTTATAATTATATTTGCAATTATTTCTAAATTACGCTATTACGCAACAAAATCTAGTTCATGCACTGGTCCCCCACACAGTGGGAAAAAATACCGATCTAGAGCGCAGAAAATAAACAAATGAACTTGAAGGAATCTTTAAAACATTAACGCAGTTTTAAGGTAGAGTTTTGAGTAAACTTAACGGAACATTTAAAATAGATATTTTTTCCAAAGTTAAAAATGGTATTTTTTAGCTATAAAATTGCGATGGTCGTGTGAATTCTGTGAATATATTATTATAGAATGTTCTCCATTTTTGATATATAGTATTGGTATTTAATTAAATGGAATAGTTATGTAACTTATAAGTTATTTTAATTTAGGTGTTTCGGGCTAAATATATGTAAGGTCCGTTTTTTTAAATTCCTTCAATTAAAATAGGGGTTTCGTATGGAGTGCAGTCGAGTTCAGTGTTAATTTTTTTTGTGTGTCTGTCTAGAACATCATACTATTTTTTTCCTGCGACTCTCGGATTTATGACAATTTTTTGAAAAAATGCCAATTTGGTGTAGGAAGTTGTATTCAAATAAAATTAAAAATTTGTGAGTTTTGTTGATAGAATTGATCAAATATGACGTGGAAAAAAACAAGTTCATATCCTATTCAAGTTGATTGCATTAAATATGTGCGAAGAAAATAGTTCTATTGCCACGGGGAAAAAATGCCCACATATCTTGAGTCCTTGTGCGTCTTGTTCGTGCTTTTTTTATTAAATCTTAAATAAATAAAACTTGACGAGAGTTTTGAACTACAATTCTACAAAAATGTCGCCCATAAGGTTTTTGATAGGGTCCTCAAATACAATAAATCGATATTTGACTTATTACACTTTACCCGATCTTTGCTCAGAAAATTTTATGTTTAGGAAGACAAATAAATTTTGAATAAAATTATTAGCATCAAATCGGACGAAATTCGATTTTAGCCATGGGATACAATTAATAATTATATATTTTTACAATAATTCATTCAGTATGTAAAATTTATATTATCTACTCCATCATCCCATTTGTGATCTACTTAAATTGATTAGGGCAACTCTAAAATGATTGTCTCTTAAGTTGTTTTGTGTTTTCAGCCGGGCGCGATTTGTATTTCGGCTGTTTCGCGAGTCGTGTTTTCTTTAATTTCGGTAATAATTTAATGATCCATCATATGAAAAATTTTTATAATTAGTTTAAACCAATTTAGTGAATCCGATATTATTATTAAAACTGTTAAACTTATTACGTTTTAAGTTTTGTGCGTAGCTTTGCCCTTTGAAACATATAAATATTGGACAATATCAATTTTGTTTTAAATGAAATGGGCTATGTTTTCTTGTCTACCATTTGTTCTTTGTTAATGGTCATTTCGTGGTTTCGTTTGTTTACGTTTTTCGTGTTATCCTCGGTCGACTGAACAATCGCTGCGTCGCAGTGGCCGGCGCCGTCGTCGTTTGATCTCCACTGCTCTCGTGAGCTTAGGAGAGTAAGGAAATGGGACATGAGCTTTTTTCTTCAAGGTAAGAATTTTATGTTAAGGGCTGTTTTCTAATTAGAATCCAATATTGCTTAATTGTATGGCTGGCAGGGATGGAGAAGTTGATTTTGTGATACAGTAATGGGACAAAGTAATGGGACAAATACCATCGACAAAGATAATAAATATGAAACATTGGCAAAGATATTAAATAAGAATTCTAAAGTCGGATTCATTCGAGTGGCTTTCCTCTCGAATGGTTTTAACCATGCCGTGTATTTGTAATATTTTAATAAATAAAATTATTTCGTATAACTTTCCCACTGTATTGTCGGAAACGTGCGAAATAACAATTTATTAATGTAAATCAAATCGATTAATATATAATTTTGTTTAACTAAAATAACATGTCGATTATTTGAAACTAGTAGTGATGAATATATGAACATAACTTTAATACAAAATAATTCGAAATTTGTTTGGGAATTTAACAAAATTCCGATGGCTATGAGGGTATAAACAATTTCATCACACACAGTATAACTTCTATCAAAGTTAAATCAATAAGATGGAAAATATTAATCCACTCTTTCTGGTACCTCCCTCACAAAAAGGTAAAAAATTTGCTAAGATGCAAACGGACTATCCGATTTAAAGCAAATTTCGCACAACCTATTATCATTACGAAGCCTAAATCGGGGAAAATAAATTATAGTATTGTTCATTCAATGGATACATCGTACATAATAAAACCTGAATTTATTTTACACATTTTAACGTTTATTTCATCCAAATATTAATTTAAAAAATCTATATATAATTACATTAAATCGATAAATATGATTTTTTTTTTTTTAATTTCGTACAAAATATTTATCCAATAAAAATATGTTTTAAACAATAAGATTATAGCGATTGCTTACATAAATGATAACAAAGAAATTAAATATAACAAGACAGGGGAATGTATTGGAATGTCCAACAAATTTTAAGAACACACATGGACTAAGGCACTTACAAATTGAGTTTTTCTGTGGTATGAGTGTGTGAGTGTCGGATGGCAACCAATGCGGCGCTGCTACCATTAACCTTCTACTTCTTTTCAATAGTTTTTAGTGGCACCATTTGTTCTGGATCATCCTGGTAGATGCTGTCTCTGTTTGGTTTTCTGCCAGCGCATTGACTGAACCAGGTATCACCTTTGCCGAAGTTCTCACCATCATCTATGGACTCGGGCATGGGCTTGTTCATAGTCTCTGGTAGGAACATAACCCAGAAACCGGAAATGAGCGCTATCACGCCGAATAGGACGGCAGGAATCTTGGGATCGAAGGAATCTAGTAGGGTAATGAGTGGTGTCAGAGCGCCAGACAAACGAGCACACATAGATCCCAAGCCCATAGCAGAGTTTCGCACAACAGTTGGAAACAGTTCGGCCGAGTAATTATAGATGACAGCAAAAGAACCGGCAATAAGAAGTTTTCCTACCATTACAATAGCAGTGGATGTGGTGCTACCTTGAGCAATATAAGCTGCCACTATACAGCATATACCTCCACCAATCATCAATGTACTTGTGATGGGTCTTCTGCCCAATCGATCTAGAACCATAACAATGGTAAAGTAACTGGGGAATTCAACCAAGCCCATTATGAACAATATCAAAAATGGATTTCCGTATAGTTTTCCAGTACTTAAAGATAACCCATAATAGACTATGGAGTTGGCGAACCAGCAGAGACAGACATTCAGTGTTTTCATGCGCAAGTTTGGTGTTTTGAAGAGATCGCTTAGACCAGCACTGGACTTTTCTTCGGCTGCCTGTTGGGCCTTTGATTTTTGTACATAATATTCTTTGTCAACTGGAATGCCAGATCCGTTCATTCTTAGGCCCTTGGCAACAATATCAACAGCCTCTGCGGCACGACCTTGCATCCACAACCAACGGGGAGACTCATCCAAAAGCCACCAATGGGCCAGAAACAGAACACCATGGAGACCATAAACAACTTGTAACAATTGTCTATCCTTTATCAATGCACCCCAGCCAGCTACCAACATAATACCAACAGCAAAGACAGCCTAAAACGACACAATTTTGGTTAAATTTGACAAGACAAGTCATACTTAGTATATGTACCTGGAATGTTATGCCACAAGCTGTACGTTTACTAGGTCCCACCAGTTCCATCGTTAGCACAAAACCACAGATGTAGGCACCAGCCGATCCGAAAATGCCCAAAAGGAAACGAGCAACCATAAATGAGTAGTATTCGGGTATGAATGCAACAGACACGCCAATAATCAACTGCAACAGGGCTGACCAGCAGAAGACCGTTTTACGGCCAACTTTATCGGCCAAACCTCCGAGGGTGACGGCACCAGTAAAAACGCCCAACATGAAAACCGTCTGAACTATGCTTCCCATCCAACGACGTTCGCATACAAAATTCCAATCAATTGCCCGTGATGTCTCGTAATATGTTCGATCGTAAACGTAAGCATCGCATGAAACGGTGTTGTTGTTACTATCATACATATGGCATGAGTCCAATTCACCATTTTCCTTTAGAGGAATGGCAGCCAAAATTTCTGACGAATTCCACGGGACGTATGAAAAGCTCGAATTATCTACACCTTCAATGAAGCATCGATGCTCGGGTACAGCTTGTACAGTGACCAGTGACAGCATATGAAGACCGGCTGTAAGGCCGGACAGAACTTGTAGGAAGAATTGAAAAGCCTGATAGCGACCAAATTCCCCTGCAAATATAAAACGAAATGTGTGGATTTAATCAAAAATAGATAAGAAAACTAAAAACCGCATAAAATATGTTCTGTGTGTTTTCATTTAATTTATTTCATTTATTGCTTAATCCATAAGCCAATGAAGGCCGCATTCGATTAATAGATATATTACAATTGTATGGCACACGATATTGTACTAAGGTATTTCAAAAACAAATTAATAACTAAAAAAATACTAAAATAAAATATTTACTATAACACGATTATGGATGAGATCAAATAAAACAAATTTTTGAAGTATATATAGGTGAAAAAAAAAATAGTTAAGGATGAGACCATTACCGAAAAAAAAAAAAAAATAGAAAAATAGAAACAAACTCTCACCATTGCTAATTTTTTAAATTTATCTAAAGAAAATGAGAAATTTGTACATTCATAAGGAATAGATGTATTCCACAATCTAATAGAGCGCACCATAAAAGATCTTTGCATTACTAATGTATTGAATAGAGGCAACAAAAGCGAATGAGTTCTTGTGGAATGTAGGAAAGAAAATCTTGAAGCCAAATGAGGTGGGTTTCCAAACTTTAGTATTTCAAATAAAAGTAAGATTATTCTTAAGTTGATAAAACTATCAAAAGTGCATCCCAAGAACTGAATAGCATACGATGTTACATGATCTTGTACATTCAGACGATACACATGTCGTAATATACGGTTAAAACACATTCTCAGTCGGGCAATATTACTAACAGTCGTACCGGAATATACCTCTATGCCATATGTCATATGTGGCATTATCAAAGCCATTGCTAATCGCTGACGTATATTCAATGGAAGATCCGAACCTGTGGTATACAATTTCTTTAAAGATGGTCATTAACCTCTAGTTTAGGTCTCTACAATATGCAATTTTCTCTTCAGCATCTTATTTAAAATACATGTGATTTTTTACTAAATATATCCATATCAGCAAATTACTCAGACTATATCCAATCCTTCCCAAAGAAGATAGGTTGCAAATATTCGCCCATCACACCCCAGCTTAGGTCAGGCATGTTCGGTATTCGAATGTGTCTGTAAATTTTAAATATTTCTGCCAATAGTTTTATAATCGTTGTTACATAAGCAATATCATGTTTCCAGACAAGAAATGTATAAATAAATAATTACATGTGTTAATTTTCTAAATTTATTGTATTACGAAGTGTAACGAAATGCGGTTACCAACAATTGCCTCAAATCAATTTTTAGGCAGTGTAAATTTTGTAATTGTAATTTAGTTTTACACATGCCGGTCATTTTCGAATAAATTTTCTCAGGCTATTTCGCATTAGTCGTCCAATAGCAATTCGATTGCATATTCGTTCGCATGATTTACGATTTTCAAGTGTAGCAGACGCATGTATTGTTGTGGACTGTAGACAGCTGTCGAAACGATTTTCCTTGAGAACAGACCGCAGTGACCATGAGCAGCGCACACACACACAATTCGCATTTGAAATGTCTTTGTGTATTTGTTTCCAGTTATCGATTTCAAGAGCAAGTGACAATGCAACTTTGTTTGAACTGCTCCAACAGGATCCTCTAATGGGGATGCAATTGACGAATATACAAGTACCATATCAATTGTCGTTTAGAATACCAAAACTTGTGTAAAATACCCTTTTTCAAGTTTAAAGATAAGCAATGCTCAATTGTTCGAATATCAACTATTATTAAGGCTTGTTTAAATGTTGTCCAGTTATTGTAATAAAATAATAATTCTAACAGATTTGCAAACAATCAAATACTTAGCCTTTTATCTTTAGTATATGGTCGATTATATTGTGATTTTTTTTATTTCATTCATAATTATCAACTTTCAAAATGCTATTCGATGGCCAGTCAGTCAGTCATTCAGTCAGCTAGCCAATGTTACTAATAAAGTGTACAAATAATGTGAATAAGTAATAAAACGAATTAATATTTTCAAGGATCAGTTATGCGTTCTATATGCAGCAAGGTAATTAGCCAAGTGTATTTAATTTAATACTAAACAAAACAAAACAAACAACTACAACGGTGGTGAAATAATATTAAATTATTAAAAACGTAATTTCAAAAGTTGAATATAATTTGACATCTGCAATGTGATATTAAATTAAACTGAACCATCATATTTAAATATATTTTTAAACAATGTCAAGTATTTTCCATACCACAAGAGATGTTGCAAGTACAACATAATCTCTTGTTGAATGAGATTATGTGTGAAGTCAACATATCCCACATAGCAATTTAAATGAACTTTTCAAGGTGATTTCTACACTATGATAAGCTGATATCAACAGAATTTATAAAAAAAGATTGTAATAACAGCAAACAACACGGAATATGGTCAAACAGTATACATGTATGTATGTAAAACGTATGTTGGATTTTATAAGAGTTCATAAATATGTTATAAAATAACATTTTTGAGGTCATAGCAATAGAAAATGCTAACAATCTGGAACAAATATTCATGTTCAGTGATTATCGGGAATAGACATAAACAAGTTATGATTGGCTAAATGATCGATATGTCACTCAAAATCGACAAGACATTTCAAAGTTTAATTATGCCGCGAAGAAAGGAAAACCACCAGACAGACGTCAGCCATGAACGGCTTGAAGTTTTAATTGAAACAAAAAAAAAAAAAAAAAAAAAAAACTATCAGATTACAAATCATGATTTTATGATAGCCTCTACTTTAAAGAGAAAATAGTAAATTGTTTAATCGTTTAGATTAACTTTTTGAAATGAGTTCACATAAATATTTGTACAATTAGATGCATTTATCTTTATCTTTTCATCAATATATTTTTTATATTTCTAAAGGATGGAACTCACAACGAATATTGTAGAAAAAATTCTATCCCAAATTATACATTTTTTGCTCATCGCTAACATTTATAGACAGTCGTTACGGGACTTTAGTAATTATATCTAAAACCTACAGATGTATACTTATCATTTAAACAGCATTCATTGTTTACTATGACAATTTACAACTGTATAATTGTGTCTTCTGCTTCTTCTTCTGATAATATTACTTGAGTTACGGAAAATTAGTTTCCCTAGCAACGCCATTGTGGTTTTGGCGTAATGAAATGAAATATCAGACAACCGCAAACGAAAACGTTTCAAAAATCTATTCAATGTTTGGTTTAATGCTCGATTGAGCATTCGATGTAGACTTTTTGCAAATAATTGCTTAACTTTTTTATGTAAATATGATTATTGCCCCTACATACATACGCACATAAATATTCAAAATTCAATGAATAATGACATCGAAATTGATTTTTTTTGGGCGCCAATATAAACAATTCTACCCTTATATGTATATAAGTAATATATTTGATTGTGTGCGTATGTTTTTTTGTATGTATGAATGGCAAACATATTTAAATCAATTATTTATCTTGCCTACAATCATACAAATTGATTATAATTGAAAGTCTTTGCACTCAATTCAATTGATAAGCTAAAATAGGCCAAGAGATGATTTATGCATGTTTATTGGATCGATCATTGGAAAAAGTGTGTAAAAGAGATGTATTTGTCACATAGAAATTTAAATTTTCAATGACATTTCAATATGTATTTTGTAGTTGCTACAAGTTGTCACGTGATTACAAATGTCCTCCTTGAATCCGTGTCAGTTGTAAAGGAATATCATATTTCTTAGCAAAACAATCCAACTTCATTGTATTTCGTAACAACTATATAACACAGAGCGAACATGTCTCTAAGTATCCAATAATTCAGCACACAAATCTGGGAATATGGGGCATTTTTTCTCAATTATACCACCATTATGAAATTGCCTAATGTATTTTATTTTACATATTATGAAACAAATGAAATTGGTTCTGTATTACTTTTTCGATATAAGATCCACCCGCTCAATAGTTTTGTTTTGCATTGGAAACCAATCATCCATATCTGTTCCATCAAAACATTCCCCTCACAAAATCTCTGCCAAATGTGTAATTTAAATTTTGAGAGGTTCAGCTGAGTATACGAATGGTTCAATAGACAATTGCAAGGTCATTTACTGATAGCTGTACAAATGAACAGAAGAAAAAAAACAATATTATGTTTTATGCGATAATTAAAGTATGTAATTATTTTAATTTCATTTTAATTTTATCTTGTTTAGCATGGCGTTGTCATATTTTTACTCCGTTCAGTGGACATTCATTGTTTGTTTGCATTATTTACTCTGTTGCAATGAAGCAGGATTTTCTCTAAGCAATAATTAGGTTTTCATAAATACGTAGCAACGTCAGAGAACCACGTTCACTTCATGGTCTATAAAATGTGATGCAACATAAACATGATTCATGCGATTGTCTATACTGTTTGATAATTAATAGTGTTTCTTCTACACGTTTTTCTTTTTTTTCATAAAACTTTGTATTTGGTTTGAATTAAGAGCTGTTTTATTTTTGTTAAACACGACTCATAAATTCGAACATGTCTGTGTGCTTAAATTTATTTGACCCCTTGGTTATCAATGTGGAACAATTTTTCGTTGGCGAATTGAAGTGTATTAGCAATGGTATCAATTTCGTAGCTTAAGCTGTCAATATTCGTGTACACACACTTAGAAATGATCAGCATTTTGTGTCCAAAAATGAAGCCCCCTCCCATCGTTGAAGCTCTAAAACAATTACTGTCATAATTTGCGATAACTCAATGTAAGAAAATAGATTAATTGAAATTAATCTGAAAAGAGATCGCCGAAGCATTCACTCTATTATCACGTTCTCATTGATACCACTTGGAATTCTCGCCTCTTACCCAATGGCTGTTTAAACAAAAAATGTGTTTAAATATTTAATTGCAAATAAAGTGGAATTAGGGATGCCAGTATTTAAAAGTTTAACTGCTGGGCATTATCAGTATTTTCCCAACTAAGGAATATTTTTATAGACAGTTTATTCCCATCACTCTTGATAATACATCTATAAATAGACACGAGAGATTTGACAAGTTTTACAATATTTTTCTTCCATCTATCCTCCATTTCAGACCCCTTGAATACTGATTTTATCAAATAATACTTTTTATGGTATCAAGATCCAACAAACTGATAAACAGAGACCGGCGACATATCACCGAAATTAAGGACGATTGTACCGATCAAAACTTAAATTCAATATATCACGTTGAGTTTCGTAATCTTTCTGTTCTCAAGTGCAAAAAAATTACTGAAAACGTGATATTCCTTAAAGTGCTAATAATCGCTTTTAGTCGGTATCTCCAGTTGGTGTCTATACCAGGGATTTAAAATAATAGTTTGCCTTTTTCGATTCATGCGAATTTGATTTAGTTGCTACCTTTACTAATTAGCGCCTTCAATTTAATTCCATTAACAATCCGAAACAGTCACCACTGGGATAATTTATTTGTAAGTGTGGGAATTGATTAAGAGGCTATAAGTCACATGAGAACAAAGCTAGCTGGCAATACGCGGCCATAACTTCACAACGAATTGATGCTGCGAAGCGTTTATTGCTGCATTCCGCCAACTCTCTTTCCCACCTATGGATCAATGGAAATTTTCAAGCGCAACATGCAAATATAATTAGGATAATATTTTAAGTAAGGAAGTTAATCGCCCTGATAACATTTTTCAGCAGCAAACAACAACAGCAACATGTCAGTTGTTTTCTATTGCCGCAGACCAGTCATTATGATAAGGGAAATACTTCTCGCGGCTTACTTTCCTCCTCATTGTGTTTGTGTGTGTGCGTGTTTTCTTTGCGAGATAAGCAAAACATTTTGTAATCAATTGTTTAGTATGTGTCCATAAATCAAACGTAGATGTGCGAAACGCGGATGAAGAGCTTACCTAATTTGCCCATCAAATCTTCAAGTACGTAATCTACAGCCATTTTTGAGTTTTTTGTTTTAGAAGTTCACCAATAAAGTTTATTTGTTTGTTACAGATACAGGAGTTTTTCGTTTCTTTCTTTTTTTGTAAAAATCACATTTCCGGGGTTATTAAACCTTTGAAAATATGATGATGACCCGCTCGCGAACCAGTTACAATTGTTTATTGTGTGGGCAACAGTATCAATATACTTATTAATTATCATTTAAATCTGAACATAACGTTCGATTGTAACTTTTTCGGTTATCACAATCCGCTTCCTAACATAACTCGAAACGGAAAACAAATAACTCTGAAATGGCCAATAAACAGCCAACCGCCAACCGATTCGCGTGCGAAACCTAACGCACATATAACACAACTAAAGTCGAACACCAAGCAGGTCGCTGGAAGTTGCTGTTGGTGGATCTTCCACTGAAAGCAGCAACAGTAGCAGCGAACGAAATAAACAATATCTTTGGCCGTCGTGTTCGATGTGGGTTTTTTGTTTTTTTTAGCGACGCTCATTTATTGGCGATCAGTTGTTATTCTCATTGTATTGTGTGACTGCTTGAGACTTTGTTTCCATTCTCTGTTTGCCAAAAAGAAGTGTTAATTACAATTAGTTTACGAGCTATTCTATGGGGCTAATACCAACCAAGCCTCCTACTCTCAGCTGACGATTGGCACATGAATATTTGGTCACATTGCGCTCTCCACTAGAAGACAGTTTGTTTTAGGTGTTATGACGCCAATAATAAAACTGGTTTCGCTGAATGGGAGACATGGTCCCAGACTTGTTAAAAAGAGTGCAAAAATAGCAGCACGAGTGTTATTAGTTGTTGATAGATTACATTTGTCATTGCGACAAAGTAGCTCTTGCCCCATTAAAAATAGACATTAACAATTTCTTGTAAGACATGAATTGAATTTACTTTTTCCAACTTGCTTCTTGCTGCTGATTTCAAATGCGCACTAAATACCCATCACAATGGTGTCTGACGTCATGGACTTCATTATAACATGAGGCCTGGAAAAATAAATAAATGAAATGAATAACAAAATCCTAAGAAATTTAGAAATTAATATACAACATTTTAGGGTATTCCAAACAGTGGCGATATTAAATACTTTGCGTAAGAAAGTAATGATCACGTACAGTTTTAAATTGAGTTTGCTCTTTTTCCAGTTTTATCCAGGCTGGTGCAATTTAATACGAAGTGACTAACTTATTATGGAAAGTACACAATTCAGACGTAATTTACTCCTTCTTATTGTTGTTGTAAATCCCCGCAAGAAGACACTTTAAGAGATGCATTTATAAAATGTATAAACATATTTTGTTGACAGGATAGAATGTCCCGGATACTGAGTAAGATTTCTGGATAAGGCGTTTAATTTCCTATTACATGAAAGGATAAAAAATATAAATTCCAGCAATATTCAATTGGAACAACATTGATTAGAATGAAACTAATCCATACAAGACATTCAGTATATCAATGCCTTACCTTAATTCTATCGATGTAATTGTTATAAATCTGTTAATATTCATCGTATTCTCGTTTTGTATCTACTGTCATCATATATCTCGATTGGTTGAAATGGTGGATAAGTTATTCCGGGTTTATGCATCTCAACTCTTTAATCCCATTTAAATAGCTCCTTGGTATTAAAAAACTAAGTCATATATTTATCATGTTAGAACACCCCGTTATTATATTGGTATTTGATTTGTATTTGAATTCAGCACTCGATTAAACATACCCCAAAAGAGATTTACTTGCATACATTGCATATGTTTAGGCGTTTGAATTTCTCGAGCATTGCTATTTCATATTGTTGCATGTTTGTAATAAAGAATAATTTTACAAATATTATGAAGACCCAAATCCTATGATAATACCTTTGATTAGTAATTGCACATATGGAAAGTACTCTAAGCAAATTACAACGCTCAAAAATTTTATTCCTGAATAGTGTTCTCAGCGTAATATATTAGTGAACAATTTTGGGAATGTTCGCTGGCGATTTTGCTATTTAATGATCCATATCGCATAAGTTATAATTAAATTCGTAGTAGTAGTACTTTTGTAGTCTGGCCGATATATGTAAAAATGTATGTATGTATAATAATTTCGATGTACCCAAGGCTTATTTGCTGGGTTAAGCGACGAGGCCACCTGAAGTCTTCATTGTCTGTCAAAATTGTTTGTTTCTAGAATTAATAAATTAAAAATTGTTTTGTTCTAACGAAAATATACATGTGTATCACTTCAATTACGATATTGTGAAAGATATTTTGAGTTTTAATCCTGTTCTGGTTGGTATCTGGCGATTAAAAAGGGAAGACTATTGCATAAATTCGCATACTTATAGGCCATGGATGTTCTCACTTTTCAACAATTGGATATATTAACTAGAGGGTTATTTTTGGAAACTGAATCAATTCAACAGGAATATTTACTAAAATCTCAATATGTAAACAATGACACTGGCCAAATTAACACAAATGAAAATCAGGTAACGGTTACTTTAAACAAATGCTTTTAATATATAGTCGTTCTATTTAGTTGATGACAATACACAATTTCATGGAAATATTAAAATTTACTATATCAAACATCGAGGAGGAGCTACTTGTAATTGAAACTGATTTGATAAAGTGCGTCGATAAAATAAAAGAAATGGAAAATTCGCCACGTTGTGATATATGTAGTATCCGCAGAAATGACCGAAAAACTGAACGGGAAGTTCTCATAGAATTATTAGAAAATATCTCATTTAAAATATCCAAATTATCTGATTTTCCTTTGGGTATTGAAAACATTAAGGAATATTTTGGAGCACAACAGACTACTTACGATACTGTAAGTAAAATCATTTGTCATATCTGACTATAGGCCGTTATTAAGTCTATCTACATACTCAATACTTTGTAAACAAATTGTTTGTTTTGTTTCTTTGATAATGTATAATCTTTATTAATTTCTCAAAGAAAGTTACTAAGTAACAAATACTGGAAAATCAAACAAACATTACACATTTTTATTTTTGATAATGAATAATTTTAGGTTTTTCGTATTATAAATTGTTACCGTGAAATTCTATGCAATACAGAACGGAATATGGACTTGATTTCGGATAAATTGTTGGCAATAACCACTTTTCTAAAATGGAATCAGACTTGTTTTCGAAGACCACTTACAAGTGCCCATAAAAACCACGAGGTGCACAACAAATAACTACAAACGTTAGAAATATTTTTCAAATATACATGTAAATATATTTTTGTTTCCACTTTTGTACATACTCAGCGTGTAATTTAAGATTTTATGAAATATATGAATGATATACACTTTTGCGAATAATGAAACATTTTATGAATGATGCTTAACCTAGGTAAAAACAAATCAAATCTTATTAAGCTGTCTCTCGGAAAAAAATTACGTCATCGGCAACAACACTGGTGCTGGTCTTTTGATTGCCTTGTTGATCCGTTATTTCACCATAAGTGATTTTTCCTTGTACCATGGCTCTTTGACCTTTTTTCAGGTACTGCATTACAGTTTCACGCAAATTTGGTTTGAAAACAACGACTCGATGCCAGTCGGTTCTTTGAGCCCAATCGCCGTTCGCATATCTGGAGGTGAGCAAAAAGTACAATATCAATTATTTTCAATTCATCAATTACATAAAACTCAAGACCATACTTGTAATTTGTGTGAGTGGCCAAGGAAAATGTGACTACCGGATGTTCTGTGTTTCCTCGCAACTGGGGATCGGCACCAATACGTCCCAACAGGGTAATGTTGTTAATAGCTGTGTACAAAAACAAATGAATTAGTTACAGCTTCAAAACAGAAAATGCATTATTTCCTTACTTTTCTCTGTGCGAGTTGGGGGTTCGTTGGAACAACAGCGACTAATTGCCGGTATCAATGCTTTTGATGTTAAAATTGGCCGGATCTAGTTTTCAAGAAAAACAAGTAAATAAAACAAAATAAAACTTAAAGGGACGATACGTACCAATGCTCCAGTTTGTTTTATCAAAGAATTCATTGTTATTTTTTTATTTTAAATGCGTTCTGGTTACAATCGTAAAACACGAGTCACACGCGCCTCTACTTCTCTATCAGCTGTTTACTGGCAAACATATGAAAGTGATACCAAGTGCTGCCGAAAGTAAATAGAACAGTGCTGCCAATACAGCTTCAATAAAATTGTACAAAAAACATTATTGATAGTAAAATGTAGATGGCGACATTTATCAGCATACAGAGAACATTCACAAGTAAATCATAGATTTATATATTTTGCTATAGATGGAGCTAGTATTAAATTTTAGCTAAATTCCCATGTCAGTTTCCAAATCGCCCACCAAAAATAATATTTGGTAGACCATTGTTTTACATAATAATGCACATCTATTCGAAATTTTTATTTTTAATTGAGTACTTCATGGTTATCTATTTATTAATCTTGACTTATAACTTGGGTATTTCATACAGAACAAGACGTATTTAGTTTAGATACAGCTTGCGTCAAAAAAAAAAAAAAAACAATAAATGAACATTTTCATTTTCCGTCACAGCTTTTTCAATTTTCAATAATAATAATTATGTGCATAAAAATATTTCTTATTCTCGTGCCTAATTTAATACGTTCTTATGCAAGGTTAATAAAATAGTTCTGCTAATAACACCTAGATAATAGGGATTTATTTTATTCCACAATAGGAAGATATTATTTCGACGATTGCTATTTTATTTTAACAAATTACATACTACATATGTATGTATGTACATTTATGAAAAACTTTATTTGCATTTCCAAAGATATGATCTTTAATATAATGTAATTAAAAGCAATGAGCGGAGCCGACCATATGACACCTATAATATAATTGTCTTTATATTAAAGGACAATAGGTCTTATGTTATAGTCAGGTAACTTTTCCAGTCTCGGTTTGAAAATTTACGCCATAAGATGTATATTTTGTATTTTTCACACAACAATCTTGTTCATTGGACGATTATTATTAGAACATTCATTAAAATTATTTGGTCAGATTGCCTTTCCCGTAGAAATTTTGTGGTGTTAAGCTTGTAATTGTAACCTCCAGAGTGACTAGAAAGAATTCGGCCCATTTCATCCAACAAATATCATTAGACTACCATAGAAAACTATAGGCGTCGTCGTTGACCATAACAGGAACTTCATGAACAATTTCATAGCGATCAGCGCTATGCTCCCTAATGTGGTAATGGTACTACTAAAAAATAGCAAAATGGGTAGACCCCCGTAAATATTAACCAATAACTCCCGCATCCGAATCAACCACTCCTCTTGTGTATCGCTAACTTCTAACTAACTTCATTTTAAATTTCGTAGTTATCGGGTAATTAATAATATCTAAAGAGCGACCAAAAAAGCAGACAAAAAAATGTTTGATCCATTTCATCCCCTAAATATTAACCTATCATTACCAAATATATATATACATATATATATATATATATATATATATAATAATCTTCATTGAGCCGAACCGAACGTACGTACATATATGGAAACTGTTGCCAGGATTGGTCCATAACTGTTGCCTGTGCTGTATTTTCAAATTATAAAGGATATACGGACGAAGATATAACGATCGGTATATTACAAGGTTAGTCTGTTGAGGCCACACAAAGCTATAACCTGTTGAGGTCACACAAAGCTATAATAATCTTATAACAAAGTTGGGTATTGAGCCTCATAAAATTGCCCTCTATACATATTTGTTGAGGTTACTTAAATATTAACTAAATTACTTTTTTTAATCCATCTGCGTTGCTTAACTAACATATTCTTCGGCTAATCATTCGTTTACAATGATGCAGGATGAACTTGCCGCTTCTCTAAGGCATCGTTGTTTTTTGCATAAAGTCTGCGTGTGTGTGTGAATTTGGCCATCACCCTCATACATGACCATCTTTGCAGAGTTAGTAGATGCACAGAGTGGTGGTGGTTGTTAAGATGAACGGAATTGCAGTTTGATGGTGGTTGTGAATATATGAACAGGTTAAATACTTGCCAAACTTAGTACCGTGACTAGTCTCGAGTTTAACGACAAGCATGTCCTTAACAAAAAAAGGTATCGGAATAGATCAGACTATAAATTAGAAGAAGCGGCATGAGACTCTCATGCGAAAAGTCCACCCCCATCAAAAATATATGTACGTTTTAAAATTCACACACTTCACATAGGGATCCTTTTTTCCAAATCAATTATATCCTGTTAAATTAACACCAACTTTCCAAATTACCAAACAGACTATTTTTATACCCTCCACCCTTGTATGGAGAGTATATTAAGTTCGTTTTTTCATTGGTACCGGTATATATTCTTGACCAGCGTAAAATTCTATGACAATTTAACCAAGTCCATTTGTCTGTTGTAGCCACTCTAGCCTCTAAACAAATAGAGAGTAAGCCGTAACCCATATTTTTAAAAGGTCGAGAAATGCCTAAATTTCTTGGAAATTCGCCGTTTTTTGACCGCAAACTAAGTTAAAAAATAAGGAAGATATTCACCGAGTTGCTTTATCCCAGTTCATACGATAGATACATACTCCCAGAGAAACGTGTAAAATTTGGAACCGATCGGCGATATCTTCAAGAGTTCTTGAGATTTTCACTTGAAATTTTGCAGGGACATTCTTGAATAAGAGTAGATTCAAACTAAATTTTTGACACCGAGAATGGGGGGGGGTCACCTTTATTTGAAAATTTTATGTTTCATTTACTCTAGAAATACTAATCTACTAATAAAGTTAAAGGGAATCGCCATTCGCGGTTTCCGATGTTACAATGATCGGTCGATCAGCTCGGCCGTCGAAAAGAATGACTTTTTCATAATTACAAACTATTAAAATAGTTAATAATTAAAGAGCGGAGCTTATGAATTAAACCGCACCTATGGCCGGAGTTTATGAGTGAAGCATAAATATTAGACCACGCCTATGGGCGGGGGTTAAGAATTGGACCATGCCTATGGACGAAGCTTAAACATAAAAATCACGGAGCTTAATGATTAGACCATGCGTTTGGGCGGAGCATAGAAATAAAACCACGCCTATTGTCGGAGCCTACGAATAAAACATAGCCTAAGGGCGGAGATTTGGGATTAACACAAGCTTATGTGTGGGAATTTAAAATTAAATCATGCCTATGTGCGGAGAATATAAATTAAATTATGCATAGAGAGCGGAATGTAAGAATTTAAAAACGTCTATGGTCGTCCTCAAAACCAAATCGTGTTAAGAGATAGGAGTGGTCCATATCAACAATTCACGGCATTATCAGATATGTTATTGCAGCCGTAATAGTAAACCCACAATACATTATCAGCATGGACATCCCATGTAAAACACCGATAATATGCCAAAACAAACCTGAATATCTGCCAAAAAATACAACGATTATTTTCAGTAATCTCTACGTTTTGTATAGAACATTTATGTATATCGTACTTCGTTCTTTTTTGGAGGGAATTGGTATAGGCTATTCGTTAAAGCTTATTATACCCTACTCAATGTAATGTTGTAAGGGTATTATAACCCTGTGTTGCCTCAAGAGTTAGTAAAGCCGCGAAATGTTGGTCCTAGACCCACGTTTCCCCATGTCCGGTTCCCCCTTACCATACACATTAATAAAAGTAATACAGCCGAAATATATTTTAACGACACATTAGTTACAAAGACGGAATCCAATTATTTGAAATACAAAGAATAAACAAATATAAAATGTATATGCGACAATAAAAAGTTGATATATCCATACATATAAACCATTAGTTATAATGTTCTTGAATTTGGCTTTTTTAATTGCTGACAATTCTTTTAAAAAGAATTGGGTGTGCATAGCATCCTGTATAGGCCAGGTTTTTATTATAATCTCAATACTTTATATAACATCAGCTTCAAAAACATTTGTTTTTAGTATGTGTACATCCTTTAATGACGACGCATCAACTAAACACACAATGCAATAACGCTCCGACACATGCCAGCAGTTATCGTAACAGTAGGACCCGCCAATGTGATGCACATTTAAATGGAATTCCGTATGGCGAAACATAACAGAAACCATTCAACATTTCAATGAAGAACGAAATATGAATTTATGTGTGATCTCTCGCTTTCCGAATGGATCTGCAATGTGGTGTATATTCCACATTGGGAATTTCTCCAATGCCCTCAATATCCACCCCCATCTATCCAACCCAGGCATTTCATTTGGTCTAGAAACTATTCCAAATCTTAAAGACCTTAAAACAAAATCACAAAAAACCCTCCAGCCCGTGAGTGCTCACATTAAAGTGAATATCTTTCGAAACCTAAACTCGAATAGAAAACAAAACGAGCACAAAATAATACAAATGAAGCACATACATACAGACAAGCATACACACAAGCAAATGCCAATATGTATGTGTGTATTTCTGTTAGTCTGTATATCCCACATTTATGGTGAATGCTTGGAGGTTGGCAGTTGGATGGCATAGAGAAGGAAAAAAACCAACACAAAAATTACGACGACGACAACAACCCGACATCGAAAGAAAGAAACTATGGACGACGACGACTCTATGGCATGGAAAAACAAGCACCAGGCAAGCCAACGAGGCAGCCAGCTAGCTAGCAAGCAATACACTTCGAACGGAACGAAAAAGATAAGGGAGGGCCGCACAAGGAACGAGTCATTAAAGCGCACATCACACAGAGCACTGAGGCGGTGTCGTCATTATCAAGGTGCAAAATAAGGGTGGCCTTTGTACGATTTCTAGTATCGATGTACACAACTGTGGAAAAACAAACGTTAGCTGATCTGAGTAACCACTTATTCTCTTTTCGTCAGTCGTTTTCGATAGTGAATATTCAGTTACGCTCACACACTCACTCTGCAGTTTGTTCTGAAGAACATTGCCTAATCGAAATATAGATTTTAGACCTCAAGCGTCTTCGGACCATATGGGTTTCAGCGAATTTGGAGACTATTGGGAATATCCATCCACC